CGGGTGGACATTGGTGGGGGCAGCCAGCTGGGCTGAGAGCTGTGGACAAAAAAACAAAGCAGGAGTTTACACCAGCATAAGTGAAGCTCTCACATGGATTCAGCAACAAATGGAGGTATATAAAAAAAGAGTTTTGCTAAAAATAAATAAATAAAAAATACACTTCCTTATTTACAAAATGTTTAAGGTTGGAAAATCAGTTCTGTTAAGTTGTCATTCCCAAAATCTCGAAGTATTTATTAACATTTTGACATTATTAGTAATGATAAAAGGCAGCTTGACTTGACTTTTGTTCTTTCTTAAATTTAATTTTATATAATTTTGTTTTGTTTTGTAAAGCAAGGGTTTTAACAACAGTGACAAATTCTCACTAAAGATGAATTTTTCACAATGGTGTCAAAAGCATTTCAAAACAAACATCATTGATTAGATAATATATTCAATATATTATAGGCCTACCATTAATTTAGTTCAATAAAAATCTTTCACACAAAAATAAAACAATGTAACAAATGAAATGTGTAAATCATCTGAATTACTGAAATGTAAATTCAATGAATTAACTTTTTTTTTAATGTGGTGGGAAACTCACCTCACAGCCTCTTTGAACTTTGACCTTGGATGTACTTCCGACTTTTTTATATTTTAAAAATGCAAGCATTAACAAAATGCAATTATTATTATTAAGATTATTAATTTCCTTTTTTCATGCTTGTTAGATCCTATACAAAAGTATAAACCCTGAATCAAAGTATACAAAATATTAAAATTACTTATATAAAAATTAAATTAAAATAAAACAATTCTAATAATTAAATAAAAATGTACTTAAAAATAAGTAAATAAATAACTATAAGTTAGAGAAGTGTTATACCAGATAGAAGAGACAAGAGATTGTTCAGGCACATTTTTTTGTTTCTGGCAAATCCAACCATATTTTGATAATGACCAGGCCAACTAGTCATAGTTAACTAGGCCTGAGTAAGTAAAGGAGCTTAGGCGGGGCTGAACTTCATTCTCATTGGCTAGTCAACACTCTGATTTATATTTCATTAACTGTGTTTGTGCTGATGAATAACTGACACTGTTCCTCAGGGTCTCTTTGACCTTTGAAAAGGTTTTGGGGACACTAGAGTCATCTAGCGGTGATTGCGTTGTAAAACACTGCGCCTTCTCAGCTTTTCTCAAGTTCATTGAACTGCAGACCGGACACAGACTTTGACACAGTATTAGCTGTTAAGCCATATTAAAATGTGTGTGTATGTGTTTTTTTTTTTTTTTTATCAGAAAGAAGAGGATCAGCAACATTGAGCATCTCATGGTGGATGAGCTTCTGCTGGACTCCATGCACATATTTCCATAACCAACATCTAACATACCTTATCCAACATGACGTATGAAGGGGAAATCATGTTATGAATCATTCTATAATTTTGGGTACAACTCATATCAGGAAAAACAATACTCTTTCTCAATAAATTAACTACTGGTTTCAGTTCAAAATATTTTTCAACAGTGTAACTTGTCTGCTAGTTGCCAAGCTTAATCATTAAACACCAATTTGACAGTACAGATAAAAAGATGTTTTCTCTGGTGGCGAGTTTGTCAACTATGTTACGGAAACCGTGTGGATTGACTGGTAACATAGTTGACAATTTCACCATTTTGACTTTGATTTGGTTGGCATTGTCTGGCCAACCAAATGTTATTTTCTTGATAAATCTTTAATGTTTGTTTGAATTAAAATTATAAAAAATATTGCAAATCATAATGTACCCAACATAGTTGACGGGCAGTTAATACTGTGTACTCCTTGACAATAAGTCACTGGAGAGGACATTTACCATAATGTGCTCAAAGTTTTTATTTTTCTCAGGTATTTGGATTGTAGAAATAAATTTAATATTGATAATTTTGATTTTAACATTTTTTATTCATTATTTTGAACTCACTCAAGACCCACTCAATTCAAAAAGTGGACATTGTAAAAACTATAATTTAAGGGACATAAAGGCAAAATTAAGGTTTATGTAATGTGGCGAGCTCAAACTGAAAAACAGGGTGTATAAAATATATGTGTGAGATTATACTATGTATTCTAATAACGGATACAATATATATTTCTTAAGAAAATTGCTAGAAAAAATAAAATGATCATCAATGGACATGAAATGTACACTAAATTATAGAATGACCCTAATATATAAACATAATTCCTGTTGATTCTATTGACCAGAACAAAAGCACAAATTTGTAAGAAATGTACAGGTTATTTGTAAAAGATATCTATTTTTTGTACATTATTTACTTGTGCTCAAACATCTATCATTTATTTATGTCAAAACTTTTAAGTGCATATATTTTTGTAAGGCCAAATGTATACATGCTTAACATGTGATGCATTTATTATCTTCATTAAATTAATGTTATTAAGAGATTTAAATGATCTTCTTAAGTCTCTATTTTGCTCCTCCGAATCTCTGTATTCTTGCCTTCACTTCCTTTGTTTTTGCTATTAATTATACACAAAGTGTTCGAGAAATTAATAAATGCCAAACCAAACAAATCCAGAGAAAACAGACCAAAAGTAACCCTAAACAAACCCCAACATTTTCCACTTTCCACGAACTACAGTGGGTACGGAAAGTATTCAGACCCCCTTAAATTTTTCACTCTTTGTTATATTGCAGCCATTTGCTAAAATCATTTAAGTTAATTTTTTTTCCTCATTAATGTACACACAGCACCCCATATTGACAGAAAAACACAGAATTGTTGACATTTTTGCAGATTTATTAAAAAAGAAAAACTGTATCACAAATATCACATGGTCCTAAGTATTCAGACCCTTTGCTGTGACCAACAATTCTGTGTTTTTCTGTCAATATGGGGTGCTGTGTGTACATTAATGAGGAAAAAAAATTAACTTAAATGATTTTAGCAAATGGCTGCAATATAACAAAGAGTGAAAAATTTAAGGGGGTCTGAATACTTTCCGTACCCACTGTACATTACAATTTGACTCAGAGTCAAATGATTTATTTGTTTACTCACCAGACTGAAGGTTACACTAAAAATACTCTCTCGGCATGATCTCGGATGTCATACTACAGGATGCCCAAACAAATACAATCACACACAACAAGTGTCCTTCAGGTACAGTGTTCTTTATTACAAAATGAGGAGTCTGAAAGGCAAATCTGTGTGTTTGTTTGTGTGTGAGAGACCGAAGCGATTATAGAAGTAAAGAGAAAAAGCCCAGAGTGCAGCGTTTAAACCTCCCCGTGCTAAGCTAACGGAGTTTCTCCTTTCGGGTTAGTCATCTGACCGATGGCATCACAAGACTACTGCTGCAAATGAAAAGCCGCTCAGTACAGACAGCCTACAGCACATACTGAACACGCTAAATAACTAGAAAACAGGATATATGAGCTCAATCAAGTGACGGCTGTAAATGGAAGAATTTCAGCTCGTAAAATGGGACAAAACGTTGAATCAATATATATATTGGCTTATTTGTTAAATATACCATCAAGAGTTTACTAACAGCTCGACTGTACCAATCTCATGGGGTTTACACCGATAGATTTTTATTTCTATTGTGGGCATATGTTATGTTTAAAAAAAATAATAATATTGTATGTTTCTTTACAATAAATGAAAACACATGCAATCAATTGTTAAATATTGAAAATATTTGTTTTATCCAATTTTTTCTTTAAAAACAAACAAACAAAAAAACATGTTTTCCTGCATAAAAACTCTATGAACTGTCCATAAGAACACAGAATAAACAAACAAAAAAAGCTGAAGGGGTTTAACATTAACGATGAGTCCCTTTGCCAAAAAAAAAAGAAAAACTCATAAATACAAAATCTTGTTGACGTCCTTCTCGGTTTCACTTAAGTTGGAGTTTTTGCAATATAATCATTAAAAAGCTCATTTTCTTCTCATACAACAATTACAGGCATTGAATTTCATAAACATTATCACAACCTTGCAAACATATCATTTTTGGATACGGTATCCATGCCGATTGCACAGGAAGTGACATCAGATATGTATGGAAGATTATTTTTTTATTTAATTCCACCATGGAATTAAGAAAGCAAATTGTGATTTTTTTTTTTAGCCTTACAATTCAAACTTTAACTTAGACATTTTTATTTTGTAAGTTTTTGTTTTTCTTTTCTTTTGAGTTGATATCTCCCAATTCAGACTTTAATTCAGACCATTTTTTCTCGCAATTCTGAGGAAAAAGAGCAGAATTGCAAGAAAAAAAATCTGTATTGTCAGAAAAAAATGTTAGATATAATTGTGACATTAGCTCACAATTCGAAGAAAAAAAAAATCTGAATCGAGATATAAACTCAGATCTGACCGATAACTCAGAATTGCAAGGTATAAACTTAGAATTGTGAAACAAAACAAAAAAAAGAATTGCAAGATATAAACTTGCAAATGCAAGATATATATTCCCAATTCTGAGGAAAAAAATCAGAATTGCGAGATATAAATTTGTGACATATAACCTCACAATTCAACGGAAAATAGTCAGAATTGTGAGATAAAAAGACGCAATTACCTTTTAAATTTAGTTTTATTCTGTGGCAGAAATAAACTTCCATAAATACGAGAGCGTCTCACACTGTGGCATTAGAAATGTAAAAATGTAAGGCTTCAGAGTCTATGCCTTCAGCGGATAGTCATACTCTGTACTAAGTAGTTACCACAATCCCCTCCAAAACAGGGTGAGCACGTTAAAAGTGTTTTTTTTTGTCTTTTTCATACATAAATACTCCTTACAAAACATAGCAAACCAGAGCAAAACAATCAAAAGGAGAAAACAAACTAATTGGCACCGATCACTTGTGACAGTGTACTATAAAAATAGTTCCTTTTTTTCCTGGTGCCTGATTAAAGCAAACACAGGCATGCAAGAGCTGAAGTCTCATTGTCATAGTATCTGAGACCATGAGGATAAGTACAACCGACGCATCCAGCATCAACATTTTATTTGATTTTTTTTCCTTCCTTTTAGCTCTATCAGAATGTGCTTTGAACACTTCCTTTAAGTTTACAGTATCATACAAAAAGTGCACTCGGCTATGATGCGTGTGAGACTTGTGCTTGTGTCTTCATTTTGACCTGCTGTGTGTATGGGTTGTGTCGGCGTGTGTGTGGCTTTAAGCCCTTTCTCTGTACTTCAAACGAGCTGTTTGACAGCTTGAGGATGTCCTGTGACCTTCAACACGTCAGCCGAGGTGTCTGTGTGAATGTCTCTTTCTTCTTAGTGCTCTGATGCGTCTTAAATGTCTCTCTCTCTATACTAACGGCGCTGTGTGTGTGGGAGTTGTTCAGTCCTACTACAGCGAGTCGCTGGTCTCCAGGCCCAGCCTGGTCATGTTGGAGTGGGAAGGATCATCGTCCTCGTCCTCTTCATCCTCTTCATCTTCATCATCCTCGCTGTGACCTCCCATCATGACCTGCTGCATGGCCAGCGTAGCTCCATCTGATGAGAGCGTGTGAAGTCCATCCTCACCTACACCGACTGTTACCATGGTACCTGAGTATGACAAACAAAACAATTCTAATCTTGAAATATAGGCAATTAAATGATAGCACTTAATCATTATTTATGCAAAAAGAAGTTATTAATCATCGATCATTAATCGGGTCTAACAAACAAAAACAACTTAAATTCAAGCTGTCAGAACCTTATTTTTTAGCTTGAGTAGCTCTGCGCTCTGATAATGTGAGGTTTTCATTATATTTCAGTCTCTACAGATCTGGATGTTGTCAATTAGATTAACCTGTTAGCAGAATTACTATTAATAAAAAATACAAATAAAAGATTATTAACTGAAAATAATTTTCGAAATGCATGAATTATTAATCCATACACACTGTATCATTAAATATTAAAGGGGAATCCGCCGGCCGCCGCTCACTCTAGCCCGCCGTGTGTGATGCTTGTGAAAGTGAAACTACTTTGTTTGGCTTTCCAAAAGAGGACGATCACAAATGCAGACATGGTTTTATGACGCGTTTCAGAAAGGCGATACATAGAGGAGAAACAATAATGTACAGTATGTGGAAAATAATGTGTTTTTTGAACCTTAAACTGCATAAACACATTTCATTACACCAAATACACAACATAATGTTCTTTTTAGCAACATCATATGACCCCTTTAATGTATGTATGTTATATTCAATTAAAATTTCTGAATTAAATCAGCATTATAAATTCAATAATTTTTTAGTAAAATGAAGTAATCAAATGAAAGAAAAATAAATTGATTATTAAATTCAAAGATTAAAAATATAATCAATTATTATTCCATAAATTTATGGATTCATTCAAAATGTTCAATTAAATTAACCAGATAACAGAATTAGAATTAAAATGATTTTTAGTTAAACAAGAAATTAGATTAAATGAAGACATAAAATGATTATTAAAATAATTGCAAAAATCATGAATTATTAATCCATAAATACCATTACATATTTTTTTTTACCAGTACATATGTTTCTACTTTCAATTTTTGGCACATTTTTTAAGTGAAGCAGTTTTGTTAAAAATATGATTTTAATACAAATACTAACACAAATACTCATATTTGTAGTTATTGTAATATTAATAATAACTAAACAAATATTCAAACATTTTAGTAGTTTAATGAGTCTTTTTTCTTCATTATGATATCAAAACAGCTGCATCATCCTGGCATGTTTTATTTAATACCCTCCAACAATATCAAAATTAATTTTACTTAAATTGAAAATATACTAATCATAAAACAGGTGCATTCAAGTCATTCTACGTCTCAACTGCTTTTTAATGTATTTTTGAATAAGTGAATAGAGACTGGAAAATTGACCCATGTAATTAGTTGGGTTTGGTAAGGGAAGCATTAGAATATCAGAGCAACCTTATAGCAATGTGCTAAAAACCACTCTGAACACCATAAAAACCACACAGCAATGCCCTGGCAACCATCCTATTCCCAATGGGAGTCTTGCACAGGAAAGCACCCTTTTTCCATCTTAAAATGTACCATTGCACCTCAAACCAAACTCGTGTTCTATATTGCTTAATCTATGGGCTGTACCGTCTTCCATGGTGACCTGCTGCTGGGACACAGAGGCGGCGAGGGAGTTGGGCCAGAAGCGTTGTAGGGGGCGCGTTTGGGGCGTCTTTTTTTTGTTCTTGGGTGTGTCTGAGGAGCTGGCGTCCAGCATGGGCTGAAGGATCCGTCGCCGTGCGTTAATAAACCTGAAGACATTGAGCCAGTCAGTCAGAGGCGATCCAGTCGACTACACGGACCCGCATACTGTATGTATCAATGTCTGATAACTCACCAGTTGTTAACCTGCAGCAGGGTGAGGTTGGTCTGCAAGGCGATCTGTTTCTTCTCATCTTCTGTAGGATAGGGGTGCTGGGAGGGACAGACATAAGAAAGGTCTCACATCTTCTCTCTCTCGGTCCACTCACATCCACTCTCCATATGTTAACTGTCTCTTTCTCCGCTTCATTAGAACAATGTCTCTCTGTGGGCCGCCTGACAGAAAACTGCCCCGCCGGGCTCTTCAGCGATTACCACTCTTCTCAGATGAGCAGCTGACGTTTGTGAGAGTGTAAATGTATATATGTGTCTGCTTCATGAGCCAGTCATCAACACCTACCAGCTCATTTCATTCATCTGTACATTTAAAAACAAATTCAACTTGAATTCAAGCTGTCATAACATATTTCTCAGACTAGCTCTGTGGTCTGATAAGAACTTTTTATTATATTTCAGCAGATTCAATTAACAACACCACAACTAAAATAGTTTTTCAATTAAATTAAGAAATTAAAGATTATTACATTAAAACAATTAAATTATTTACAAAGAACAAAAGTTTTTTTATTTAAAAAATATAAATATATATATATATATATATATTTTTTTTTTGCATCATAGGAAGCGTTTGTGTTTAATATAGTGAAGTGTTTAACTACTGGTTAAAAGCTTGGGGTCAGTAATTTTTTTTCTGAAAAAAAAAAAAAAATTAAATTAAAACTTAATGATGAAAAGTGACAATTAAGCTTTTTACATTGCTATTTTTTATTTTTAAATAAATGCTTTTTTACCCTTTATTCTTCAAAGAATCCTGAAAAAAATGTTTCCACTAAAATATTGCGCAACACAACTGTTTTCAACATTAATGAAATGTTTCTTGAGCAGCAAATTAGCATATTAAAAGGATTTCTAATAATGACGTAAATAATGAAGTAATGATGCTGAAAATTCAGCTTTGCCATCACAGGACTAAATGACATTTTAAAATATATTCAAATATAAAACAGTTATATTAATTTGTAATAAAATTTCACAATTTTCAGTTTTTACTGTATTTCCTATTAAATAAATGCCGCCTTAGTGCACATAAGAGCCTTCTTTCAAAAACACTAAAAAATCTTACCAACCCAAAACCTTTGAATGGTAATGTACATCCATTATACCTACTTATGACCATTTTTATTATTTACTATTATAATTATTAATAATATTTTTTTTATTATTACTGATAACAGTGGACCAATAATATTATAATTTTACAACAAAATATTCCTATTATACATTACATTTCCTACACCTTATTCATTACATTTGAGATATTGGTTGTACTGTATTTATCACTGAAGTGAACATGAAATGCTGTTTGTAACCCGTTTTTTATGTGACGGGATATTCAATGAGAAAAAAGGAATGTCAGGCGATAAAGCAGGGGGCTCTGGCACTTGGTGTGAATAGTGAAAAATCCTTTGTGATGGTTCACTCTTTCTGACACTATAAAACAGGGAAGGACAGAAAAAACTTACACCGATGTGCTGGAAGAGCCAAGAACGCATGACACTGGTGGCGTGTTTGGGCAAGATGCCTCTCTTGGCCTTAGACGAATTGTCCTCCTGACTGAAAAAGTTTAGATCCTGGTTCAACTGCAGCTGAAGCTGTGGAAAAAAACAGCCGTGGCTGTCAGGAGTGTGTGCATTCATACTGTAATAGATTATGAAGATGTGCTGGTGAATAGTTGAATCAGCACATCAAAGAAACTCTGAACACTGGAATAACTGCATGAAATGAGCGTGCTTGTTGACAGTGTCTCACCTGTGAGTTCTGGATGCGTATTGTTCCAGGTGACAGAGTCTGTGTGACCACCTGCCCCTGTGGAGTGACAACTGTAACAGGCTGATATACTGTGCCGCCTGGGCAAAACAAACACACTCACACAGTCAATATACAGTACGATGAAATGAGAATCAGTGAGCTGTAGTAAAACAATCAACAAACCTGTTAGCACCTGTGTGGGGTTTACAGCTGTGACAGTAACATTGCCTTGTTGTAAAGCCGACGCTGGTACTACAATACCTTGAGGACTCATGGCTCCAGAGAACGAGCTCTGCGGCTGTGAGGAGAACATGTGCACAACGGTTGTTTCCTGAGCAGAGATGGAGACAGGTTTTGACAGTGTTTTTCGACCTGTGTGTACCTGTATCTGTGTTGGGGAGTAGGGGCTTCCTGGCTCTCCGCTGAGCAGCGTCTCGCTGTTCATCTTGGTCTTGAGGCAGGCGATGTAGCGGCTGCAGAAATCTTTACACAGGTCATTCACCTTCTCCAGCTCCAGCAGGTGAATCCGTAACACCTGGATGGCGTTCACCATCTGAGGACGATGAGAAAGCACAGTACAGCCAACAATCATCATCAGAAAGATAAACTGAACTTATTGAACTGCTAGAGGTGAACCCTGAATACAACCCACTGTACAAGACCCTAAAACTCGTATTTAAATGTCCTCACCATTCACGTAGACTCAGATGGACACCCAAATGAGCATGTTAAAATTCAAATATTTATTATTATAATGTTTTAGAACCTCATGTTGGGTAGCAGATTAGAATTAGATTAGAAGCTGCTTCACCATTCAATATAAATATGTAAAAGCCAATACAATAAGCCGGTAATAAGCACTAAAAACTAAAACCTGTTGTTTTGGATGCTAAGAAGTGAATTTAGACATCATAACACTACAATGTACAGCATAAAAAAAATGGAAGTTCATTTTAAGATTGGCTAAATATTATATTAAACAGTGTTATTAAATGATTAGTGTTTTTAAATGGAGTGCTAGATGAATCAAAATTTAAAAATGAGCTTGCACAATTAAATATCCATATCAGCTGATGCTGATTAAATCTTTAATATTGACTGATAAGTGCTATTTCATGCATTCCTAAATGTATACCCAAAGTTTTTTTTTTTTATTATAAGTTATATTCAGCAAGGATGCATTAAATTGATCAAAGGTGACAGTAAAGACATTTATAATGTTATGGCTGTTACATTTCTAAAAGATTTCAAATAAATGCTTTTTAATTAAATGTACGTAAATTATGAATCATTAGATTATTAAATTAAAATAAATTATTTACAAAGAACAAAAGTTTTTACATTAAACAAATCTTACATGGTTTGCAGCAAAGGTAATTTCTTTGTGTTTAATATACACTACTATACAAAGGTTTTTTTTCCAGAAATAAATTAATAATTTCAGAAAGTATGCATTAAACTGACCATACTTTTACATTGTTAAAAGTATTTCTGTTTTCAGATAAATGCTGTTTTTCTATTCATCAAAGAACACTGAAAAAAAATGTATCATGGTTTTCACAAAAAATACTAAGCAGCAACAGTTTTGAACACTGATAATAATAATAATAATAATAATAATAATGTTTCTAGAGTAGCAAATCAGCATATCAGAATGATTTCTGAAGGATCATGTGACACTGAAGACTGGAGTAATGATGCTGAAAATTCAGCTTTGACTAAAATAGAAAAAAAGTCATTTAAATTGTGTTATTTTTTATTTTAAAAAAATGCATCCTTGGTAAGCATAAAATACTTTTTTCATAAACTTTCAACATTTTTTTAAAAACTTTTGAACAGTAGTGTAAACACCAAAAACCACCAAAAAAAAAAAGTTTAACAGGCGACTCTTACCAGATTGTCCAAATCGGGGTCCTCACTGAAGAATGCCTTGCCTTCTTTCTCCTGGTTTCGCACAAAGTTCTCAATATCCACATCAAAACTGGCCGAGGTCACGCACTCCGAGCTCTGAGTGGATTGCTCGCATTTCTCAAAGAGCAGCGCCAGCAGGGGGAACAAGGGGTGTCTGACAGTCAACAAACACATCATTTATACATCGAACCACAAATGCATATTCAACTACACGTTCTCAAAAACATGCCACGAGAAAAAAAGCAAGGAAGTTACCTGTAAATGGCCGTCTTGTACACCTCCATAGGACTTTGTGGTTCAGACGGTGCTGAGCTGCTCTCCTCTTCCTTTCTCTCCTCCTCTTCCTTCAATCTCTCCTCCAATTGTCCCGCCGTCTGTTCTCCCACTTGCATCTGCACGGGACACAGGGGCAGGGAATGAAGATGTATGAGGTATGTGGAAGTGTGCAATGTCAGCTGGCATGTCTGCGGGCGGGTAACGTCCGTGTGTGGGCCGCTCTGAGAAACACAGCCTCTCTGTCACAGACCCTAAGAGCTGACATGGGGTTTCAAAGCATGTAACAAAACCTCACTTTTTAACAAAGGGGTTTCTCTCTCAATCCTCAGACTACTCTATCTTTTTTTTCTGGCAGATTTAGAAAGCTTTCACAGATTTAACAGAGTGGTTTTTCACATTAGTTTCAGACTATTTAACAGAAAAACTGAGTAAATACAGAAATACCAGTACACTGAGTGACTCAACATGCAAGATATACAGATATCTTGGATAATTATAATGCAACAATCTATTCATATATTAAATTTAGAATATATACAGTAGACTAAGTACCCACAGTTTTGTTGGTTTCTTTTTCTTTGTACTTTATAGTTGGGACAGGCCCACATGATGGAGCGCATGTGATGGAGCGCAACAATAGTGTTGATTGAAAAAGGGGAAATGTTAAAAATATGTCACGACTGCTGGAAAATCTCGGGTTAGTCTCGAGTCTCTCTATCACTCCATCTGATGCCGCAGAGATCAGACTTCCCAGAATTCACAAGACATCAATCTCAGATTGTGAGATGTCTAACTTGCATGTTTACAAGACGCTTATTGATTTTTTACAGCAATATAAAGATGCTTATCGCTTTATTTAAAAGGGCAATTAAACACACTCACGCAAAGCAAAAACAGTACTCCATTGGCTGTATGAAGAGCTCTTTGGCAACACAAACCTGTTCAGCCTCTTGGTAATCCTCCATGGACACCGATGGGGATGTCATCATAGTTACTGTTGCCGCGGACAACGCTTGGGCATTCTATAAAGCTGATCTTCAGCTCCACTGAGCTGACACAGTCACAAACAAAGACAAAGATTTATGTGGAAAAACTGAAAAACAGCTGCTACTCTTTACCAGAAAAATCTATACTATTCTCCTATAAACAATGAATATGAATTCTATCTGCCAAACTTACAATATTAATCTTATTAAAAAAAAACAACACTTCTAAATCTTACAAAACTGCACTGCACTTTGCCAGAGACTATAGAATAATGAGTATTTTTCTGCTTATTCCAAAACTTCATAACTAACTCTTTTTACTCTTACTTTAAAATGTTTAACTTATTATTATTATTTATTTCTTGTATTTTTACAGTACACAGAGACAAAATACTCAAAAATGTACATGTATACTCACAGTACTTGGCAATAAAGGTGATTCTGATTCTTTATATTCATTGTAAAAGGGCCATTCAGTGATTTATTGACATGCAAATATAGGTCAGGCAAATTAATCAATATTTAAAGCTACTTGTGAATATTAATTTTTGTATTTGGACATTATAACCAGCATATAACGTAACGCAAACAACGGTAGTTTTACTATCTGCCTTACCTAACTGAATAATTAACATTTTGTTTTCAGTTTTTATTAAATTATTATAGTAAATAGTGTGTAAAATAACCGTTTAATTCCACATTTCATTTCATACATATATCTGCATTATACGGGTAATGAATCATCTTGCTGTATAAATGGGTCATTCCTGGGATTCGGTAGTATTTCAGTCCCCCAGAGTTTCTAAAGTGGTGGTTCACCAAAATTAATTGTTAGGAGCTTTTCCCAATACTTTGGCATGCCCATTATAATGAATAAATATAGTTAATGCATTTTAATATTTTTAGCATAAAATAATATCTTTTATCTATCGTAAACCAAGCATTTTGTCATGTCCCTGAGACACTTCACTGAGTTTCTACTTAGAAAATTATTAACAAAATGTGCATATCTGTGATTTTTGGCAATAATGTAAGCATTTATTTGTGTTCCTTTCGTGTGAAAAATATTTTTTCAAAAAAAAAAAAGCAAGATATTTTATAAAAAACAGACTTTAAAGTTATGTCCCTCAGTCTGAACTCAACCCTGTCACACTAACCATTCTATGCCCATAATAATTAAGACTCCACTCATATGTGACATAATTTACCAGAAATTACATCATTCGGGTCTTTTTAATAGTGGTGCAGAAAATGGTTAGTAGTATCATACTTTTTATTCATATTTTTGAGCCATATTATAGTCAGGGAGGGTACTGTCAAGCTAACCAACTCAACCCCGTCACACAAAATTAAGATGGAAAATTATTATTTTTCAACATTTTATTTGAACCCATAAGTATATACAATGTACTTGTTGTATTGCTGCCATGTATGGTCTTGCTCTCCTACACTACATAAGGAACAGTGGCCATTTTGAGTGAAAAACCACAACCCCGTCACAAATATATGTATTTCTCATTGTTACGGGGTTGTAAACTTGTGACAGGGTTGAGTTATTTACTTCATTTATTAATAATTTTAATGAAAATTTTTTTTAAATAGTCACGATTTTTTGATGTAATATGTCCACTTAAACTTTGACAAGCATCATACATCAGAAATTGCACTCACATTTGCAGCAGAAAGACAATGTTGGCCATGCAGATATGTTGACCCTGAAACAAGGGGACAATATGAGAGAGAAACAAAACCAAAAATTTCCATTGAAGGCAATGTATCCCTTTAGATGTGTTACAGTCTTCAACCCCGTCACACCTTGTCACATTAATATTTTTGGAAAAAATTAAGAATGAAAGCATTTCTTGCACAAAAAGAGACCATAGACATACAATTTGTGTATTTTTAGCTTCAGTCCCATAAAAATGTGAAAATTATGATAAATGTTACATTTGTTATCATTAAATTGTCATGAGGGACACATGAGCAGTAGGTAGATATTTGTTTTATAACAAGTTCTGTGTAAAATCCTTTTTTAAACCAATCCCATTTTGTCCATAATGGGGTTGAGGAAAAAAATGTGTCTAAATCTGGGGAAAAAACACAAATGATAAAAGGTCTTTAATGCCTGAGGTGGGAAAATATGATTTTTTGGAGATCTGATATGTGCCTAATGATGTGGGGTATTTAGAAAATGAATCATATGTAGTAAAAAAAAAAAAAGTATATTCCAAGTTGAAATGTTACCGAATCCCAGGAATGACCCAAATAATACCTGTATCACTTAAAAACGCATTTAAGTTTTTATTGTATTTTCTGCAGGCGCTGTGAATCAAAACTTCGTGCTTTACATATAAGTGAGACAACCATGCATAAAGTCCTGTTTGATTTGATGTATGACATTCATTTGCTTCAAAATGAACTTGTATGCTGAATTGGACAAACATGTGCAGTGGTCTTTGCGAACAGCCGAATACAAATTCGCGATATAAATAGTAACATCTCTAAATATCGCCTTGATGTAACGTATCTGCACTGCAACACGACTTCAAGGAGTGATTCGCTTTGAATGGGCTTAGAAAAACAGTCAATATCTACATCTAAAAACACAATCGATTTGCATAAGAATTGTTTTCTCGTAATGTGGTTTTATATCTCCGTCATGGTCTACTTCTTCAGCCACAGATGACTGTATCTCATCCTCTCTATTACTGTAGGCGCCATGTTTGTACTGAGTTCAAACCTATCGCTTATATGCTCATCTCTATATAGTGTTTTTATACGAAGCGCCAGATAAGTTACCCATGAGAACCGCTGGCGCAATTAATATACAATTACAGTACGTCACCTGCGTCATCATGTAAAAACACAAGCCGCCTTGACTTTTCGCTTACTTATTAAAAACATCGTCTCTGTCTCTTTAAATATAATAAAAAGCCTGCCCATAATCGCCTATCAATCAATCTAAGGGACATCGGGCTATCCCTCCCCACCAGTGCCGCCGCCATTCGCACTTCTACAAAAGATCATAAAAAAAGAGCTGGGCCTTGACTGTGTGTCGAGCCAGAGAATCCCCCGAAACCGCCGTCCAAACATCTGATTTCAGCCTAAAACCGTCCAGACCGCGCGCCTCCCACGGAAGCTCGATCTTACGTGCCGAGTGCATTTTTAGCGCGCGGCCCATATCGCTTGATTGATAGGGAGTCGGAAAAGAAGATTTTGAGTGACAGCTTACCTTAGTGCCAATCTTCGTCACAATGACAAGCGGCTGCAGCAATCGGGACCCGCAGTTCTTCCATGTCGTCACAGCGTAACGGCACGCAGACAACTTTGCTTATGAATATTTATGAGGTGGGAGGAGACATTACGGTATAGGGAAAAGTGTTCGTCCCTTGAGACTTCTGTGGGGACAATGTAACGTGTATGTTATAAAAGAAATTTTGTAAGGTGCTCGGTAGTTTTAATTAGTAATTCGGAGCGTTAAAAAACTTAATAAATCACAGTGTGAAAATGTTAAAGTTTAATCAACTTTAATTTTTGCTTTCCCTTTCTTTTTCTTTTTTTCTTTTTTACCGATTGCAGGTCTGTAGGCTAACCGCAAATAATTTAGCCATTTATAATCAAATATTAGTGCCTCTTAAAACATATCATAAATGACATACTTCTATGACAATGTCATGGTGTGCTTTTCATTTTGAGCTGCTTTCATCCAGTACAGGCTCTGAAAAGGAAGAAGACGACAAAAAAAAAGTTAATTTAATAATCATTCTAAATGTGCAGCAAAAATGCGGTAACTCAAACAGGGTAAAGGCAAAAATACACCCACCAGAGAACTTAAATTCTGGGAACTTGGTTAAGACTCCACTCCCATAGAGTCTCTGGAGTTTGGTTAGTTCTTCACTTAAAGCTTTCTCATATTCTGGTCCAGCATCTACAGGGCCACCAGAGGCTCTATGGACAACACGAACAAGGTTAAACATGGAAAAATGTGCTATTAAAAAGATATGAGAAGTCTGGTATATATCGGAATGCATGGAATGTTTTAATGTTATTTGATTTATGTATATACTGGCTCTTTGTAGAGTATTCCCTTAGCTTGTCGAGAAAGAGTCTCTGTATTGAATCCAGTTGTTCTGCAGATGTGAAAGAAATTCCTGTTAGTTGTTACATATATATATATGCAATAATTCTAAAATGTCAATATTTAATTAATACTTTCATTATGTACTTGGATGATAAAATTCAGATTATAATTCTACTTCACTGCATGCTTAAATAAAAAAACGATTTTTACCTACCAATTAATTTGAACTTATCACAATAAAAGTATTTGCATTTTAGAATGCAAAAAAGCAACAACAACAAAAAAAAAACATAATAAAGGATGTCAAGAGACAGGCACCAGTCCACCCTCTTGTGGTAAAGATCAGAATAGCTCAAAAGAAACAACGCCTTCGTAGCTCTGTGACTTTACCACAGAGAAACCCATGCTGATTCAATACAGGCATCAGTGTGAGCAAATATTTGTGTTATGGGAAAATGTTTACAGATGCTGTACACATATAAACTTTCCCTTCGTTGTTACAGCAGGTCAGTTCTTAAATGCAGACATCTGTCAGATTAGAGACTAAACTCTCCTGCTTATGTTTGTGTGGCATCATGGCAGGTCTTTCGTTTATTTTAGGGGGAAAAAATCTTTAAATACTGCTAAAGCTAAAATCCCAGAAGTCAGAACTAGACAACTGAGTAAAAACAGAATGCAAAAGAATTCTAGTTCTAAACTATGTAATGAACCTTAGCATTTTCTGCGAAAATAAATACATTAAAAAAAAAATTATAATAACAAATGCATGATATGCAGCAAACATGACAAGAAGCAACCAAAAACAAAAATGAAAGATTTAAAGATAATGACTCTGTGTTGCACTATAACAACTTAAAAGCAACGATGCAAGTAAATGTATTTCAACATTGAAGTGCATAAAATTATACATTTATGAATCTTAACTTTATGATAATAAAACATTTGCAATATCTTGGAGTAATTTCCCACAAATAACTGTCCACAAAAAAATAGGGAGGGTGCATAAACAACAACAAAATATTCCTATTTTTTGGAAAATATGGATTTATGTATTGAATGCAGGAAGGGTGACACGTACCCTCAGTCAACTCCTCAGCTCCCTCTGTCTGATCCTCTTCCTCTAAAACATCAGTTTGCACTAGAATTGGGTCCTTCAGACTGATGGATCTCTGAGCATCACCAGACATTTCTGACAGAGGATCTACCTTCCCGGCTTTACTTAGAGAGGCAGATGTGGTCTCAACAACAGGAAGATCCTCAGTTGATTGAGGTGAAGAGACTTCAGGCATGGGGTCAAAGACCTGAATTGCTTCTTCATGGCAAACTTCTTGAAGGGTTGGAACTTCTCCAGAAGTAACTGCCACAGCTTCAGCACTGGTAATATCTAGTATGGAGTCAGCTGTGCCCTCTGGAAAAGACCCAACTGCCTGATCTATGATCTCTTGGCCAGAAGGTTTGTCTGCTTTGACATTTGAAGACCAAGTGGGAGCTAGAAAGTCTTGAGACTGAGTGAACTGAGACTGTGAAGAGTACTGTGCAATGTTTATAAAAGTTGATGCACTGGTCACTGCAACCACTTCTGAAACATCAAAAGGCTCCTGACTGTTCTCATGTGCAGATGAAACTTCAGGAGTTGCCATAACTTTGGAAGTCACCATAACAGCAGGCATGTAAACTCTTCCATCACTAGTTTCTCCAGCATGTTTTTCAGAGGCAGAAGCAACATCCTCATAAAATGGAATGACTTCCGAGAGGTTTGTTGAAGACAGCTCAGAAACTTGACTGATATTTGTAGTCATCTCTCCTTGAGTTGAAGCCTCTTGTGGAGCATTAATTGTGGGCGATTCTACAGCTGACTCAACAGCTTGGGGTGCTGCATCTTTTGCATTCATTATTTCAGTGTATGTCTTATTATGCAGACCTTCCGTGGCTATTTGGTCAACATCTTTTGAATATGCAAAATTCACAGAAGAATCGACTATGGCAGTGTCAGGTGCTGAATAACTATCCACAGCATCTTTTGCTGGAAGGGTGCTGGCAGAAGTTTGAATTTTTGCATTGGAAATAATTTCTTTGGCATCACTCCGGTCATTCAATTTATCTGGTGTAGCCTGTTTGGTTGAACTAGTAGCAGCTTTCAATGCAGAAGCAGTGATCACTGATTGTTTCTTCTCTTTGGTCTCCTTGGCCTTTTGCTGCAGTAATTTGGCAATATCGATTATAGTTTTTGGTTTTGCCTTCTCTAGGGTAGAGACAACATTATATTAATGCATATAATAAAAGCAAGAAGCAAACTCACTCAATTAACTTGCTGAAGAGTAATGCAGAATAAGCCTCTATAAATGCACTAACCAAGTCAACATGTAAAAATAAGGTTTTCAAAAGGAGGATTTTGCCATGCTGCAATAGAAGAAAATTTCTTGGTTCCCCAAAGGACCTTTCAGCAAAATGTTCTGAAAAGGTTTTTTTTTTTTTTTTTACTATGAAGGACATTTTAATAATCTGAAGAACCTTTTATGAAGAACCTTTTGTGGAATGGCCTATGTTTTTTGTTTGTTGTTGTCTCATACTTTTAGATACACTGGTATTTGTAAATGCAACTGCTTATGTTAGCTTTTAATATACGGTTTTATCCTGATTAAAGCTTTAATACAGTACGGCAACTGCACGCGCGTCCATGTTTAACGCTTCTCATAGCTATATGAAAATACGTATATTATTGTAACAGTTCATTGTTGGAGCTGAGCTGAATGAGAGAGAGAGAGAGAGAGATGCAGAGCGTGTGCAGAGCAGGGGGACACGAGGAACAGGATATGCCCCCTATGTTGCCTTTTCCCGAGGGCGGGGTTTATCTGAGTTTGTGATGTCACGAACCCGGGAAGTAACTCGTTGTAGTCCCTACCAGCCGTTTTTGTAGGCATTAAACTGCCAGAATTTTAAAAGACGATATCTCCGTTTGCATTGAACTTTCAGCTTCGTAACTTTGCAGATATTGTTTATGCTCAAACAGCAACATTACACACTAACTAACGTTAAAAAAGTGAAATCGCAATGAACCACCCCTTTAATGGAATCATAGATGCAAAAAAGTGCCTCAATAAGTGCCTCAATATTCCTAAAATAAGACACCACAGAACAAAAAGTTAAATAAGTGTAATAAAAATCCTGTTAACTTACTTATACTTGTATATCTGACAGGCTTCTTGACATTATTTGCTTTGGTGCAGAGTTGTGACAATGGAGAGACATTCCTTTGAATCCAACTATCCAACCAAAGGAACTAAATTAAAGAAACATCAGTTCATTGTTGGAGCTGAGCTGAATGAGAGAGAGAGAGAGAGAGATGCAGAGCGTGTGCAGAGCAGGGGGACACGAGGAACAGGATATGCCCCCTTTGTTGCATTTTCCCGAGGGCGGGGTTTATCTGGGTTTGTGATGTCACGAACCCGGGAAGTAACTCGTTGTAGTCCCTACCAGCCGTTTTTGTAGGCATTAAACTGCCAGAATTTTAAAAGACGATATCTCCGTTTGCATTGAACTTTCAGCTTCGTAACTTTGCAGATATTGTTTATGCTCAAACAGCAACATTACACACTAACTAACGTTAAAAAAGTGAAATCGCAATGAACCACCCCTTTAATGGAATCATAGATGCAAAAAAGTGCCTCAATAAGTGCCTCAATATTCCTAAAATAAGACACCACAGAACAAAAAGTTAAATAAGTGTAATAAAAATCCTGTTAACTTACTTATACTTGTATATCTGACAGGCTTCTTGACATTATTTGCTTTGGTGCAGAGTTGTGACAATGGAGAGACATTCCTTTGAATCCAACTATCCAACCAAAGGAACTAAATTAAAGAAACATAAAGTCATATAATTTGCACCATAGATCTCTGTAATACCCTGCCATCCATTTTTCCATTAGCTGACATCTGAACAAGACATTTGTAAAGAGTTGGACAAAGCTGTACATATTCTTATAATAAGAGGGTGAACTTCAGATTTTTTTAAAGGTTCCAAAAATAACTTACAAAAACACGTCACAAACTTCTTATTATTAATTTACTTGTTGTGCTGTCAATTAAAATCATGGGTGTCACTTTTTTTTCTTTTTTTTGAAACAAGGTAACGTTACACACACAAAACACACATTCTTGTTAATAATTAAAATATTTTTTCTAAAAAAAAATTTCCATTCCAGTTAGGGATGGGCGATACCCCTTATTTTGTTTTCGATACGATACCGATATTTTTCAAGGCAGTATCGTCGATATCGATACCGATTCGATACTTCTGCACTAAACTTTTAAATTATGAAATTTATGAAATTATTAAATTACTAAGAGTAAAATGGGTAATGAAAACCACTTAACTTTGTTTAAAACGCATTTTAACCCGTTTAATCCCAAATTTTTCCCAGACATGAAAATATCCAAATGATGTGTCATTAGTAACCCTTTGAAATAATTAATACATTTTTTTTTTTGGGAAAAGTGTGTGAAAATTTTTATTTTATGGTCAGTCACAATTGTAACCGGTGGGATAATGTGTATACTGAATTAACATATTTCTGCAGTCTTAAAAATTGTTATATATCTTAGCCCAGCTATTTTAAACTGTTTGATCACATTCTAGGGTTACTATTATGCATAAAAAACCCTTATACAACATTGATAGGAATACTGAGATCAAATACAAAAAAATACAACCATCAACGTATTTCAAAATTGTTACTTTTTTGTAACATATATCATCACATTTTTATATTAGTGCTACCAGTATTACAACATTAATATTCTAACTTATTTGTAACATTTGAACTTTTGATTTAGTGCAATATTTATACTGCCATTAGGGACTGCCAGTGAATGGCTGTTGCATGCATAAAATGCAACCTTTACATGATCAATATTATCTTTCAACGTTCAATTTAAATAATTGTAATTGCACAAACTATGTAGGCTACAATTGCAATTTGTTTACTGTGAAATAACTCAAACATTTATGTTTTTTTCTGTCCTCTGATAAGTTCTGTCTTGCAACATTTGCATGTGTTCAGATGGGCAGGAAAATAGTTCTATCCTACACAATTATTCGCTAACAAAGGTTATTCGTCCAATTCAATGCATATTGTACGCATTATTATTATTATTTTTGTTAAATAAACAAAACCACTAGTAAATAAAACGCACCTTAGTATCGATATTTTTTGTTTGAGTATCGATACTTTCGATACTCGCGTCAGTATCGATATATCGATACTTCGGATCGATACGCCCATCCCTAATTCCAGTACACACCAGTAAGCTGAAAGGGAGGGCTCATACTGTAATTTGTCATGCTAGGTTAATTTTATTAGACAATAGTTTATGAAAAGTATCATTTGATACTTCGTGCCTTCACTGATTTTAAAACGAGCACTGGGCGAGGAAGTCCTGCAGCGCGTATTCACAATCGACTTTATATTGAATTAGCTTTTAACTTGAGTGACAGTGTACCTTCAAAACCCTCAACTGCCGAACTCTCTGGAAGGACATTGTCGCGAACATCCCAAAGAAGTCGATGACTTTATGGTGGAAGAGCAAACACACAGTTACCTAAGAGGACAGTGAACGTGCAGAACAAAACACTCGCGATTGCTCGTCGAGATACAACATTCGTACACAATATTAGCGACAATATACATGGTCTTGTGGTAATTCAGTGTTTTACCCTCACACTGTTGCTCTCTTTCGACCGTGTGTTTTTCATAGACACCGCTTGTTTACTTGTCCTTCGCAAATCAGGACATGCCGTTCAATGGTCGTTAAAGTTGGATTCAAAGGCTCTCATTTAACAACGCCTCTATAGACGATAAAAGCAAAACTATTGTACAATAAGGACAAACACATACACAAAGATAATTTAGTTGTTTTTCAAATTGTTCCGTGAAGCCTAGACGTCGTGTAATCGTACTGACACGCCTCCTGAGAAACATGCTTATAGCCATTAGAAGTAAAATACTTTGATAAATGCGAGCTGACGTGAAAACCGTGGCATTCTTTTAACTAAACACTCGTTTTGACAGCATAATAAACTGTATGCAACGAAAAAATAATTTGCATTACATCTTGGTCCAATTGAATTTTATTTGCAACATCAAGACAACACACTGCTTCTACATTGATAACAATACGCTGTCATCAACATATTTACTTCTCAGTTTGTAATATATTATACTCCATTCAAAGTTTTAAACATAGACACATATTATTACCGTTCAATCAATGGGGCTTTGCTCATTAAAAAACAATGAAGGTGAGGGCAAATGTACAGTGTGCCTGATAAAAGATAAGGGAAGAAGGGAAAGAGGGGAAAAAAAGAAAAGAAAAGATGTGACCATGACCCCTTGCATTGTCTGAAATATTCTTTGAGATGAGGTTTGGGGACAGTGACCCAGCAGAAAGCATTCAAAGCACTAAGAATCACTCTCTCTCATATATACGCACATACACACACATAGAAAAACCAAGTGGAATAACTTGCTGGCCCCACCGTAGCTGTTTTCCTTGATCACTCTGGCATCTCACTAGCACAGCAGTGGAATATTAATGTGTATATTGCATCTAGAGAGGAAAACACACACATTTAACAAAACCGATCCCCCTGCTTCAGTCCAAAAGGAAACAGCACCTTTCTCAGACTCAGTATTGTGATAACTGAGGGCAAATGAATAAGACCCACACAAACTCAACATATTTCATCTTCCATGTAAAAACAGTGGGCTCTTTCTAAGACATATCTGAAGAACTGAAGACATTTGCAGCAGATATGGGTGAAGATTGATCCCTTTTGCTCACTGGTTCATGGTTTCAACTTGCCAAACCGTTAACACTATAAACCAGCTTGCTAGTTTTCTGCAAATAAATAACAAAAAAGCAAATAAGAACAGTTACAAAATATGAACTCTGACATCTCTTATTTTTTACAAATATGACATAACTACAGTGTTGATCACTAATGCCTAACAGCACAAGAATAAAAAAAAATCAACATACATAAATCAAAAACAAACTGTGAACTTATTAGTAATGCAGTATCAAACTGAAATATAGTACTGTATATTAAATAGTTTACTTTGTAATGGCCTTTCAGGGACATTTGACAAATATATGTTTTTTTAAAATTAATTATTTTATTCTAATCATTTGCTTCTGATCAACCTTGCTGCTATGATATTTCAGTTGGCCTCTGAAATGTGTCCCATTCTCAACAACATAAAAATAAATAAAAGCTACATAACAAACAATGCTGAAAAACAAATATAACGATTTCCCTATCAGAATTCATTTAGTTTATATTAAAATAGTCTTCCCATGAAGCATCTGTGGTCATATCGTTTCGAGACTTGCTGAAAATTTCCCTGAACATGCTCACATTTAACAGAACCTCAAAACATCTGGACTTCATTCAGCTGTTGAACGGTCACCAAATATCTTTCAGTAAAAACAGAAAACAAATAAATGAGTCGATTGACACTCGAGAGGTTTGCCAGCAAAACCTGGTTTTAGCTTTTAGTGTTAATGACCAAAATTATGGAATAAAATGTTGAACAGCCAGTAAGACTATAAGGGTGAATCTCACAAAAGCATGTCCAGTTCACACCAAAATCCCCAGAGTATTTTGCATTAAAATATGAGCTATTTCAGGACCATTATATTTTATGATTCTCAATAGATAACTATAATAGAATATTTTTTTAAATTACAAAGATTTTTTAAATGTAAACCTGCATAAATTAAAAGCAGTACAACATATTTTACCATAATGAAATTAAATATTTTTTCACATTACAGTTATGAGAATTATAAATTTTTTAGAATTATGCAAATAAGGTTTCATGAGATTCACCCATAACGATGGATTTCACTGCAATGACAGTGCAGTAGTGCCATTTGAAACAATATTCTTACAGGTTTTCATTCTAGAATACACAGGATCATTCTAGAATGAAAACCTGTAAGAATATTGTTTCAAATGGCACTACTGTTCTCGGGTCATTAGAGTGTTAAATACAACTACTGTATGTTTGACTCTTTAAAAAAAATCACAGCATCCTGAGACGTCCTTCACATCATTAGGGAACTGAGAGGTTCCCTCTACAGTACATCACTCATTTTCACTCACACACTTGTCTTGAAAAGGTATCAAGGACAATAAAAATCCAATTGGGATCACCGATTAAGACTGTTACAGCATTTTGCAGACTCACAAACGCTTGCGCAAATACACACATTCACATTCTGGGATTCATGACGCTGGGTGGAGTGGGACTGTCACATCTGGATGGTGGGCTTTCACCACAGAGGAGTAGCGGAAATGGAATCTGGGGGGTCAGAAGATCAGGTCAAACAACGTGGGTCAGGGTTCGTCAAAGAGCTGGAGGTCCAGTCGCACCACAATCTCTCCCGTAGGGACTTCGTGTAAAAGCAGACGCTTGGTGATGGGCCCCTTAGAGCCCTGGTCCTTCTTGATGTCGGCCAGCCGAATCTCCGTCCTGCCCAAGAAATCTAGAAAGACGTAGAGAGAGAAAAAATTTTATTATGAATTTGTGATTAAAAACTGCCACTCAAAAGTTTTGGGATATTTTTTAATATCACACCAAGTCTGCATTTATTTGAAGTAAAAACAGCAATATTCGGAAATATTGTATATTGTTATAAAATAACAGTTTTAATCAGTTTTTCCTTTTAGGACTGTTTGATGAATAGAAAGTTCAAAAGAACAACATTTATTTGAAATAAAAATTTTTTGTAACAATGTAAATTTACTGTCACTTTTAATCATTTTAATGGGATCTTGCTTAAGTATTAATTTCTTTCAAAAAAGGTTCTATTGACTTTATTAACATTTGAACACTAGTGTGTAAACACACACACACACACACACACACACACACACACATATATATAATTATATGTGAGACTATACATACTGCATACGAAAAGCAAAGTATGTGAATAAGTATACTGACCGTCCGGGGAGAACTGATCCCTCTCAAACACAGTGACGCACAGCACATCCTGCTCCAGGTCTTTGATGAAGAACTGGCAGTTTGAGTTCCATTTAGGGTTCAGAGTGTCCTGCAGCGTCTTAGTGACGTGACACTGAGAGCCCATCGTCACCTCACAGTATGGGTTACTCTTCCCTGTACACGCACAATGGCCATTTATGATATAATCAATAGAACTAAAATGTTTACAACCTAGTAAAGCACCTTAAATCTTATTATGCAGTATTCATTCTTTACCATTTGAGCGGCAGGGCTTTAACTCAATGCCTTCAACAATGTTCACCATTAGCCGCCCGATACCAGTGGCCCTCTGAGACCTCACTGCAAACATAACGGAAACACAAAACCAGTGCTTAGCAAACACTCAGGGCATGCATTGATTTATTAAAGCAGCGAGATGTGAGACAAACCCAAGTAGGCTTTCTCTCTCTTCTTCTTCTCTGTTTCGATGAAGAGCTCAGATGCAGCTTTGATCTTCTGCACCCAAGCCGTCCTGCAGGATTACAGGATGGAAGAGAAGAACATTGTCAAGATACAGCATGTGTGTGCTCTTCAAAAATGTCTGAGCATATGTCTCTTGATTAATAGGTACAGTTCTAAATAATACACAAATAATGATCAAATACCGCTCGTTGATGCTCTCAGCCCGTATAGTGTAGACTCTGTCGATGTGAGATATGTGGAATATAGGTTCATCTCCTGAAGGATCAGTGGGCAGCTTCACCAGCACCTCATTGAGAAAGATGGGCTGCAGAGGTCAATGAGTCAGATTAAAGGTCAAGGAATAAATACCATATTAAAGGTCAAAAACTGACTGCAAATAAATAACGGTCTCACCGTTTTGTACATGCGATACTGCAGGTGGGATTTCGCACTGAAGACTTTGTCTGTTCCAGACGAGCCCAGAGGTTTGATGATCTGCGTGAGGAGCAGGAAATCGTTAAACAGGAAGCCGTAAAGCTCCTTGTTGCTTTTGGCTTTGTAGAGTTTTCCACTGTGCAGGAACTTCCGAGGGCCCAGACAGTTTGTAACCGAGTTGAACACAAGTTGCTGTAAAGAGAGAGAAAAACCTTTATTACAGAGATTTCATCTAGATTGTCATGAGAAAACAACTTGATAAATACACAATACTGTTTAAAAGTTCAGGGTCCGTAAGATTTAATTTTTTTTTGAAAGAAATGAATAGTTTATTTCAGCAAGGATGCATTAAATTGATAAAAACTGACAAAAGATTTATAATGTCACAAAAGATTTCTATTCCAAGCAAATGCCGTTATTTCAAACATTCTATTCATTAAAGAATCCTTTAAAAATGTTTCCACAAAAATATGAAGCGGCACAACTATTTTTAACATTGATGATAATTAGAAATCTTTCTTGAGCAGCAGATCAGCATATTAGAATGATTTCTGAAGGGTCATGTGACGCTGAAGACTGGAGTAATGATGCTGAAAATTCAATTCAAATGAAAACAGTTCTTTTATATTGTAATAACATTTCACAATATTACCGTTTTACTGTATTTTTGATCAAATAAATACAGCCTTGGTGAACATAAGAGACTTTCAAAAACATTTAAAAAACCATCCCGACCTCAAACTTTAGAATGATGACAACTATTGCACCCCTTTCATGTTTTTGTTTTTTTACTGGTGCATACAAAAATAGTCTCTTGAAAAGCTAATTAAATACAATGGTTTATTTCACTGAGTGAGCCTGTCTATGGACTGTGATAATGCACCAGGTTTGTGTTACCTCTGACAGCCCCTCACACTGCACATGTGCCTGGATCCACTCCAGCCGGTCTGAGTTTTCTTTCTCTCGCACGCCTTCGTTGACTTGCGAGCACAGCTCTTCAGCCTTCTCCAGAGCCAGCCGCAGGTGACTGTGGTCCGGGTGGCTTTCTGGAGTGTTCTCTAAAATCTGAGCGTGAGGGGAGAAGAAACATGAGACGATGGGTCTAGATACATGAAGCCAAAGGGAAGTGATGTCAAAGTAGAAGAGTGCAGATGGTTTATGTGCTTTTGTAGTGTTTGTTTTCAATGTGTTACCGGTTCTTCATATAGTAGTTTGGAAATAGTTGATTATCAAGATTGTGTACATACGTTTTTGATGATGAGGGGGTATCGGGTGACTCTCTGCATGGGTTTGAGGAGGAAACTGGACAGGGGCATTCCCTTACAGCGAGGGTCCATCGCCAACCTCTGTAAAACATACAAACATGCATAAAGATTAAAAAAAAAATAAAACATGCATAAAATATGAACTATGCAAGCCTCTAGTTTTTATATCCCTTTTCACAATACAGATTGTGTCAAACCAGCTGCACAGAGATAAACAGGAAACACACAGAAGAAAAATGTGCAAACAATATCACAATAAAAAAGGAAAGTGGACATTTGAATAAAAAACTTAATTTAAGCATCACATTTGATTAACCCATTGCCTGTTTGCTAGGCTCACCTTAACAAACTCTTTGAATTCAGGCACCTCGTCTGTCTTCTGCTGAATGAGGGTGGCGCCGTTGAGCTGGCAGCTGCAGAAGCGGATGTAAGGCTGCATGTGAGGAAGCTGAGCCGTCAGGATATCACCAATCATCTTCACCGGCATGCGCTCACCTGACATCTTCTTCCTCACCCGCAACGCCCTGGAGACAGAGGGGCATTCTGGGTAAGCCATGTAATGCTCATTAGATGGAATTACATCCTATTCTTATAGTTGTCTCAACATCTGTTTAATAAAGCTGTGAAGTGTGACTATTTAATTAAATGACCTGACATGCTGCATTACTTTAATAAATACTGATGCACTACATTGTTATGTCATTGTTACTGCACTGCATATTAACAGCTTTAGAGCAATTTCTATCATAGAATAAACACAAATGGAGCTTAAAATGCATGGCAACTAATGATGGAGTCAGGATTTCCTCAGTAGGTGGCATACTTGAGCAGTTTAATGTTGCACATGATCAGCTCTTTCCAGTTGACAAAGATCATGGCCACCTCCTTCTCAGTCAACAATTCCGACTCCAGCAGAGGCTTCTGGAACGTCTGAAAGCAAACCATAAATATTGGTTAGAACTTTTAAAAATACAATTACATACTTATTAACAGCAGTTTCTTGACTTTTTTTAAACATCAAACAACAGAGCTGACTACTATTGATCTTGGCCACTCTATAGGCTTGATTAAACCTTCATTGCTTATGAGTTTTACCTCAGTGACTAGCTGCAGGTCATTGACATAGTTCTCCTCTGTAACAATAAGCTCATGTGTGTAACCCTGCCTCTTCCGTTCCACTGGGGTCAGCATGTCGAGCAGGTGGAGGTCGGCACACCCTGTGAAACGCACAGAGGTCATGCACAGTCACATCTCATGCTTAGATTAATACATTAAAAAAAAAAGATTAATAATTCATACGTACATAAATTCAGTTGTATTTTAAGCAGGCAACAATCAAGCACTTACAACAAACTTGTATTACTTTGGTAAGAATAATACTGGAAATTAAAGCTGAATGTTTTTTTCTCTTTGCATTAAGTAAGGAATAGTATATGATTATTACAAAATAAAGGGCCTGTCATGAAGCTTATTACACTTATCAAATAAATAACTGGACATGCAACATTGATTTGAGTTGAACTTACTTTATTATGTGAGAAGAAAGAGATGACGGAGTGATACGAGGCATAACTAGCAGTTATTGTAGGAATACGCTCAACTATACAAAAATATTTGACCGCAGAATGCTGCGATTGCCCAATCAGAATCAGTTATTCCAGACAGCTGTTTAAAAAAGCAACCTAAACGTTCATTCACTTCTATAGAATATGCATGCAGGCATATTCCTCATGCAATACTGATTTTATGCCATACATGTGAATCTTGAATTAAACATTATTGTGCATTCAAAACCATTATGCGTGTGATAGTGACACAATCACTTCATCTGGTAGCAGATTGAAAATAAATAAATAAAGCCAGTCTGCAGTTGCCATGAAGTTCTTTAATGGTTACACATTTTTTATAAAGGTGGTATGACACTTTGTTTAAAGCTAGGAATTGTTGTATATAGTTGAGTTTTTAAATGTACATTCATTTTATTTTGATAAAATGCTTTAATAGTCAAGTACAACGGTTAATGTTTTGGACATTTTGGTGAGATATTCAGAACGAATGCATTGTATTACAGAGTATTGCAAATACTCAAATGGGAAGGAAGCAGTTGTGCTTCTGTAGTCTGAGGATGATTTTCAAAATAAAACAAAACAAAACAAAAAACCTTGCAAGAGACGGTCCATCCAGCCAATAATAAATCAGCAACCTCAAATACTGTGGAACCAATAAAGAACCACACAGACATGATGTCATGTCTTGTTTCTCAGTATTAAAATTACAACATTGTTGTGAGGCAGAATAAAAAAAAAAAAAAATTTAGTTCATGTGTTGTCAGTACAATACTGTAGGAGTACAAATTAATGCCATGCTTTGATTGCTTTCTAACAAGCAGGAAAAAAAAAAACACACTGGATGATCTAATGGTCTCTTGTTCTGATATTTAAAAGAAAATTCCAGTCTTTCATGTTTCACTTGTAAACGTCTATTTAGTCATAAGCATTTGTGAATAGAAGGGTAAGCTTATGTTCAATACATTAATGCTGTTTAGGGTTTTATTCAAAGCATGACATCTCAATTTCATAAAATTTGCGCTTTCTAAATGCTCTCTACTCACTACTTGAACTTTCATATTTTTGTTTTCCGGTAAAGGGCGGTATACATACTGAAGTGGATTTTTTTTTAAACACTATGCATAACAATTTTTGATCATTATAAAAATAGTGAGCTGTTATATCAAGAACACCTTGAAATCTAGTGTTCTCAAAATCAACATAAAAAACAATTGAAAATTCAATCAACATGACAGAATGATGACAGCAAACGATTGAGAATACAAAACAAAAGCATTCATCCATCTATATGGGAAAGACAATTATATAAGAAATGAACCCTCTGAAAGTCTAATCATGTAAGGACACCCTTAACGAGTACGTCACTTCCAGCAACATTTTATACATGTACGCACTTTGACTATCACTGTACCATTATCCTTAAGTGGCAGTTGTGCAGTTTTTTTTGGTTTGCAACACCAATTCTCAACCCCATCACACAAACACAACAAAACAAACAATCAAAAAAAAATCAAAAATCAAACAAGAGACTAGCAAGCACACGAACACAAATCAATTAATCCACGGTTTTGGTATGAACATGTAACAAACAATGACACAGAGAGGCATGTGACTGGACCGGATGAACTGAGATGTCCATCCTGTCCGTCAAATTGACTGACAGCACCTGTGTGTACTGGAAAGGGTGGGGAGGGGGGGGGGTATTGTTCTGAATGACACACAATAGTATTCTACATGAAGTCCACATATCCGACCATTTGGGACTCTTGACATGGTATATACTCGTTTTAGAGATCACTTGACTTGTTTTAGACACACTTTGGCATCCAAATTTCCATTGGTCGGATATGATGTACACATCACAATGTCTCAATTCCACATATTAGAGCCTTGATGAGTTTGCAATGACACTAGTAAGCATGTCAAAGTTATGACACATGTTTGAAACTGCACCCCATTACGTCATGACTCATGAATAGTGGGTCATTCTGTGGTGCTATGGTCTAATGAGAAATCCGGGGGCGGGGCTTGGAGGGGCGAAAAAAAGCATGCATTAGTCGGAATTTAACACTGAATGGAACCATTTTGATTGGTTGCTTCATAACAGCTTTTTTACCTACAGGCTTTGGGGTGAGATCATAGAAAGCCACAAAAGGACCCACTATCCAGCACTTTTTGTTTAGTGTTTCAATTCATTGTACAAATTCAGTGTGAATGATTAATTTCATGAATTTGTAAAAGAAAAAAGGGAAGAGATCCTTCAAATATTAGGCATTCTTGTTTATTTAATTGCTTTAATGCGGAGGATGCTGGCTGGCAATTTTGCCGGGGGGCAGTCACATGATCAATGCTCCATCTCCCATCATCCCGCTGGGCACGGTTTAAAGGATAGTGGGTCGCTTTGAGGACTTTCAAGGCTGAGTGGGATATGGGCAACATAAGAGTCCTAGAAAGAGGAAAACACAGCACATAAGCCAAAAAAAAAGAAAAAGAAAAAAAATCTAAATAAAAAAAAAAGGAAAGAAAATAAAAACCACAATGTGCAAAATCTTTACGAGCTAGGAGAACTAAATGAAATCTGGAAGACACTTTTCACAGGACGCCACAATGACAAGGACACCGGCATGCAGGCAGAAGGAGAAAGAGAGATGGGAGTCTACTTAAAGGGGTCGTATGATGCTGGATGCAACAAATGCCTTCGTTTATAATGGGTTTTATTGGTTTTGTCTCGTCGTGCCGGGAGTAGGCATCACAATATGGTAAGGGGCTAAACATTTCCGTCACACGCTTGAGGTATTTGGCCAATCACAACGCACTGGATAGCTGGCCAATCAGCGTACACCTCACTTTTCAGATCGATGAGCTGTGTAAAAATCGACGTGTTTCAGAAAGGCGGGGCATAGAGGAGCAACAATAATGTACATTATGTGGAAAATAATGTGTTTTTTTAACCTTAAACTGCATAAACACATTGCATTACACCAAATACACAAAATAATGTTCTTTTTAGCAACGTCATATGACCCCTTTAATGCTCTACAACACGAGGTGAGAGGTTGCTTGGAAACAGGAAGAGGAGGGGCTTCAGTGTGGACATCGGACGCTCTATAACTCACCACATCGTGAGGAGGACATAACTAAAACTAAATTTAAGAAGGTCCTCAAAGATTTGAAAGAAATGACTGCATTGGCACAGTCCATTTAACTGGATGTTACTGGTGACGCTTCAAGCCAATTGTCTCTCAAAGGGATTTCAGAATTTAATTGTTATCTCTAATTTCTTTGAGCAGGATAGAGAGCGGTTCAGTGTGAGTGTGTATAAAATACAGAATGTTCTGGACTCACATTGTTGGCAGGGGTCTGTGTCGGTGGTCAGCTTGACGTAGTTTGATGGGAAAAGGCCAATAGAACCATTCAGCTCTCCCTTCCACCAATCAGGATCCTCTCTGCTCAAAACATTGATGATTTGGCCCTTCCCGAAAGGCAGCTCATCATCGTTCTGAGCCGTGTAATCGTACATGCCAATCACCTGGCACACTATGAAGGGGAAACACAAATGCACATGTAAAATATAAGATAGCTTGTGTTTTTATGCAATGACCTTGTACAACTGTAGTACATTATTTTCACATTTTGATAATATTTTCAACATTTAAAAACAACAGAAATGCAATTGTTTTTATTTTCATATACTTTTCAACTACTGACAAATTCCAGAATCTCTATTTCAATATTTATTCCAGAATAATATAATAAAATTATTCCTGATTACTGGAGTGTTTGCTCCGCTATTTGGTAGACTGCCTTTATTTATCATCCATGAGGACATGCAAATAATATGAAAAACTGAGTTGTTGATGGTGTGAAGGTAGCTTACTAATGTACAGCACTGTACAAGTAACCTAGCCTGTTCTAAATGACAAGAGGCAACATGCTCAAACTTGACATAATTAAACATTGCCTTAAACGTTTTAATTATAAAAAGTACAAAAGACAACATTTCATCTGTGTCAAGAGAAACCACTTTCTTGCACAATAAGTTACCTGTACCTGCATTGGGTGTTGGCAGCTTGGGTGGGTTGGGCTCTGTGGGTGTGGTCTTACTGGTGCTGGGGCTCAATAATTTCACATAATTAGCTGGAAACCAGCCAATCTGACGCTTCTTTCCTCTTGCCTGGAGAGAGCAACAGCAGTGGGCCATTAAAATAAATCTGAAGTAAAAATTTAGCATACAGTCTAATTTATAAGGAACAGCGATATCTCACAGGTATCACCTAGACTTGTGCCGGTATTCGGTAATGCGATATATCACGGTAATGAATATGCACGATATTGTTATATGTCTTCTAAATACCGTGAATAATTATATATTACAAATTATTCAGAATTTTTAATGCATTTTAAGAATACTTTTCCCATCAACTGGTCAAAATGCGCAACACGCTGTATGCTGCGTGAAAGACGCCTGTGCACTCTGATGTAAACAAGCGCGGACCAGAAGCACATGGCGGAACATGTGAGAGACGCTCTGGATGAAAGCACACTTTCACTCTCTGACAGCAGATGGCGCTAAACTGCAGAAATGATAATAAAAATAATATAATAATTCATTTAAATGCAATGATTTAAACAGCCATTCAGATTTGTGTATTTGCTATGATGTTCATCACAGAGCCAAATACTTAAATATTTAGACTTAATAGGCTATTTATTTTCAAACTTTTTTTACATTTTAATCTGGACTATATACTGTATTATGGCAGCACTTAAAAAGAAAGCAACAACTAAATTTCAATACCGTGATAATACCGCATACCGTGATAAAAGCATTAGCAATTAATCGCAACATGAAAATTTGATACCGGCATATCCCTAGTATCACCATATCATATCATTCCACAAGCACTGATGTAAAATAAATTAAATGAAGTAAATCTGAGCACAAGTAAGCAGATTTAACATTACAATGCACCAAATAGGCGTTGCTTCTATAACTACAGATTCTATTAAATGTTTAAGGTTTGTGCTATTGTAGTAGAAAGTGTGGGTGTATTTAACAGCATGTGTGTTATTCAGACCTGAAGTTCTCCTTCCCACCACCCTCCTGGGTTTTTCTTGCGAATGAGAATGAGCTGGCCAGGTGCTAAGGTGAGCTGCTCTTCCCCGGTGGCTGTGTAAGGAGCAATCACCTGGGCAATCTCTGAACACAGAAGAAAAACACAGGTAAAAGGAGAAAAAAGCAGGAATACAGGGCCGCTCTCTAATAAAATGCTGTTATGGTATAATTTTGGTCTCTGAGTTCAGTTATAAAGGCCACAAAACTGCAGCTTAAAATTATTTTTTTTTGCTAAAATTCTCTCAAACACAGGCAACCATAAAAGTCCTATGGTACATGTTTTATGAGAGCGTTATAGCATGAGGACATCAGCACCCACCTGGTTTCTTCCCTAAACTTCCCATTTTTCCAGCAGATCCCAAACCCTAGGAAAAGGTGGAAAGAATGCTATTGTTATACTGATTTTATTGGTTGAATATATATCCTTATTTGACTACAATAACAACTTTTTGCATGCAACTGTATTTGTATCGAAAGTATTGCGTTATAAAAAAAAGTTCAAACAATTCAAGCTCTGTTTAACATTGCAAGTAGTTACCTCAGATTCTTTAGGTTTGACATAATTTGAGGGGAAGACTCCGGTCTTCCCGCCCACAGTGCCGGTCCACCAATCTCCTTCTTTTTTTGTGACCGTGATGACATCCCCTTGCTGGAAGGTCAAGTCACCCTGCTCACTGCTTTCATATGTATACATGGCCACATACTCTGTGATCAGACAGAATCACACAGACTTTCAGATACAAAATGATTAAGAAGAGAGAGGGAGGCACACATGATCCATCGAGCTGTCGCTGGTATTCTGACCTTCTCCAAGATCTGTGGGTTTGTTTGGAGATGGGCTGGGTCTCTTAACACTGGGAGGGCTGTCCGAAGAGCCAGACTCAATACTGAAACAGAACAGCAGCATTCAAAAGTCAAAATCACAGTCTGGATGAAACGCCTAACTGTGTGTTCAACATCACTTTTTGTAATAAAATTAGTATTTCATAATGGGGTCATAATTGTTGCGTTTATTATTATGTTAAGCTCGAAAAGTGAAAACATTTATTACAATATATTACAAATATAGTATTATTAGAAATCTGTGCTATTTTGCACAGATGCACTGACAGAAAACTAAAATTTTAATTTTAATATGCTAACATCCAATACAAATCACTAATATTAACCAATAACTAATATGTTAATGATATATCGCCAAGATACACACCTCATAGATTTCCGGACGGGCCCAGAGATGAGTTTGACGTAAGATTTGGGGAACCATCCTCTCTGCCCTTGAACCTCCCCAAACCACCACATATCCTGCTGCTCCAGTACGGTGATCACGTCATTCTTGTTAAAGTTTAGGTGATTGTCTTTCTTGGCTCTCCATGGATACAAAGCCTGCGCCTGCAGACCCTCCACCTTTTCACCCTGAAAACAAGACAGCAGCAAGAGTTTTCAAAAAAAAAATAAAAAAAAAATACGATCAGCAGTAATACACTGTCACGATCCCAGTACCTAACCATAACTTCCATCTAATGAAATGATGAACAATGCCATGATTCTTTTCATATGTTCATGTAATTCCTGAAAGAAAGAGGCCTTATAGTCTTTAAAGCTTTTTTTATTGGACAAATTACTTACGTAGTGCTGAAATCTGCCCAGTTACTGGATGTTGAGGAAGAGGAGGAGGCGGGGCCTGGAGGGGCAGGGGTTGAGGAGGGCGGGGCTATTGATGCAGACTCTGTGGAGACTGGCTGCATGGGTGTGGCTGTGGTCGATGAAGAAGCGGATGACATATGGGAACCCAATTTAGGGGTGGAACTAGAAGCAGCGCTAGCCCTCAGACTAAGAGGAACTTCAGAATCTGGAATCTTCTCTGCATAATTGGCAGGGAACCAGCCAGTCTTCCCTTTAATCTCTCCTCCTAACCATCCAGGTTCACCTGTCTGAGACTCATCCACCTGAAAAGAGAAACACAACAGAAAACAAATGAGAAACATAACTGGGTGATAAAGAATCACAGGGAACCTCAGCATCTTTATATACATTAGAGAAACACATAAACTGGAATGCACAGAGCACAGTGGCTGTATGTGTTCTGTGCAGTGAGCGGCAGAGAAGCAGCGCATTCAGTTGGCCGCACCGCAGCCGTCTCGTCAATAAATGAGTATATAATAGCGTTTCCTAGCACCGGTCGCTTACTGATTGTTTGGAATTATAAATGAGTGTAGTTCATATTACATGCACGTTTTTTTTTTTTTTAGATTGTTACTCAGATGCAGGCAGTGAGGCATTCTAAGTCAATATACTGCAGTATTTCCTCTCTCAATCAGTAGAAAATATGGTTAACACCCAGTCATGCATGAAAAAAAAAATACACCGTCATATACCGTGAAACCGGTATAATTTTTAAAAATACCGTGATATAAATTTTTGGTCATACCGCCCAGCACTAGATGACACAAAGGACTCATTTTGTTGATTTAATACAGGAAAATGAATAAATGGTCATTGCATCCCAGAGGCATCATTGACATCTCTATGAGTGATCTAATGGCAAACACTGCAAAGCCTCTGAAATCTTGCGATCTCTGAAATATTATGATCTCTGTCCAGGGTCTGTTTGAGCTCAGTGACAGATGAACAAAACAAAGAACATCAAAGACAAAGTAGAAATAAAAAAAAGTGCATGAGAAGCAGAAACCTCGACTTACCCACTCTCCCTTCACCTTCAGGCAGAGTGAGCAAAGAGAGGACAGAGGCAGGGTCAGAGGTCAGTAAATGTACACACTAACAGCACACATATATTCTCTCTCACACAAGGCAGAGACAATCACACACTCTCCGGCAAGAACACAACAGAACTATGGCTGTTGATTTAACATGTTAACTTGGTGCAACAAATTTTCAAACAAATAACGTTAAAATTATTAAAGCATTTAATGCACCCGCTCTGGCCCAGACCTAGACGTCATCTTATATTACATGCAATATATATTTCATTCTAAAGCTACTTTTTGTAACGTCTGTTCAATGCATTTCTCATTTAACACAATAACAGTTTTTTCTTTTTGGGGTACTTTCTCAGCCAAAATTGATGTGTGATTAATTTGCGATTAATTATATTAATCAGCACATCATGTAATTAACCTAGTTTAAAACTTCAATGGCAGCCCTAATCAGAAAATATAAGCACACACTATAGGGCTGAAACTATTCTTCAAACAGTAAATAACAGAGTAATTATATGCAAAATAAAATAAAATAATTGTGGATTACTATTGCCTTAAATCTTCTAGATACACTACCATTCAAAAGTTTGGGTTTGTAAGATTTTCTAATTGTTTTTGAAAGAAGTAATTTACACACACCAAATATTATTACAATTTAAATGAACTGTTTTCTATTTTAAATTTTTTTTTATTTATTCCCGTCATGGCAAAGCTAAATTTCAAGCAGCCATTACTCCAGTCTTCAGTTTCACATGATCCTTCAGAAATCATTTTAATATGCCGAGTTGCTGTTTCTTTTGCCAATTTGAAACATTTCTTATTAAGATGTTAAAAATTGCTTACCATCACTATATCTCCAGGATGGATGGTGATCTCATCATTACTGCGGGCCTCAAAGGGATACAGTACTCTATAGTAGACCACCTTTACCTTCTCCTGACTAAAGCCAGACACTGGAATCTTATCTATAACACAAACACAAAAGTTATATTGAGTTACGCCATTTAGGGTGAGCTTAACAGGTCTCAATATGGATAAACAAACAAAAAGCAGCTGCGAAAACAATCCAATTCATGTCTGTCTGGTTCAACAATCTTCTTTTGTCTCACCTGCCATAGACCAGGGGGACTGAGCCTGTAGTTTCCTTGATTGCGGATGCTGTGGGAAGAGTTTGGAGAGGTTATCCTGTACTTCGGCTCTGCTGTGGTTCTCCTCTTCACTCACTTGGCTTATCCAAGCCTGAGACGCAGGAGGAGTGGGCGCTTTACCCAGCCCATCATCTCTCCATGCAGGAGACACGCCATCTTCTGTCCCTGACAACCTGAAGGAAAGTAAGGGACAAAATGAATGCCAGTTAGAAAAATCTAATTAGTTTTTCCCCACAAAGAATAGCCATGGAAGGACATAAAATACCTAGACTCTTGCAATTCTGTGGACTTCCGGTCATGTGACGGCTGGGTGATGTCAGCCTCAAGCTCCTTTTGTTTCTGCCTCTGTTGTTTGTTGTGGATTTCTCTCAGCTCCTGCAATGCATGATGGGATATTGGAGGACAGGTAAGGGGGAGTATAGGGGGCAACGGGGCTCTGTTTGCGCTCTCTCTCTCCCTCTCGCTCTCTCTCACACACACACACACACACAGATACGTTCAAAGCTGTGCCCTGCAAGTGCTGTCTGGACAATCTGTTCGAAGTCTCAGTCACATAGTCTCTATTTGTTTTTTATACCAATTCATATTTCTGACTACAGCTCATAGGTCACCATCTAAAAATACTGAAAATCTCAAAAGATTCTACTGTCTATTCCCGACTATTTCATACTCTCTGCTATTATTATTTAAAATAGAAAATTTAAAAACAGTACACAGCATACACTTTGTGTGCTTGACTGTATGAATCATGTAACCATTTATAATGTTAATAAATGGTTGGCAAATGGCTCACCAATGTAACAATTGACTGACAGTTTTAATACTGTATGTGGAAATCGTACACGTGCATGGTACATGGTGCAAACTGCATAGCGATTGCGTTCATGATGGCAGGCTGCAATGCCTGCTGGGTAAGGTCACATGAACCACAGAAGTCAGAAGAGAGGAAACGACAGACTGCGTTTCAGCAGACCAATGGAAACACTGCTGCTTATGTAATGCCAGACAATTCCACCAATAAGCAAGCTCTTTGGGATCACCATTAGGATTTGGTAATGGAGTCGTGTTAATTTTTTTTTTAGATATTAAAATGTCAGATCTGTTGATAGCATATACTTATTACTGAGAGTATGTTTCCCTGGTCTGGGATCTCTTATCGAAGCTACATTTCTGTTAAATGTTGAATGTCACATAAGCACAATTTGCACATCGAATTACACAATCACGAAAGATCACTGCAAGCGTTTTGGTAATAGACAGACTCTAGAAAGACAGAGAGAGTTAGCCATTCAAGTGTATAACACACATACGTGAAGGTTTAGAATAGCTACAACGCTGCCTTTGATGGGCTTCTCAAAGGGAGCTGGAGGAGGTACAGTGAGACACACGAGCAGGGGACGTGTTGTAGGGGGAAATCAAAGGTTTGGGGAAGAGGGAGGGATGACCTGGCAGTAGAAGTGTATATGCTTCAAACAGGCCAGCAGTGCTGCGAGACAGTCCAACAGCACCTCGTCCACAGAGCTCCCTGACTGCAAGAGACACAGAGCCACCCATATGGTGAGGGGTCAAAGGTCACACCACCATCATCATCGTTATCATCATCATTTTGTTTGCACTCTATGCTGATGTGTACTCAGCTCTACACAATGCAGAGCCTCTTAAGCTTATTTATCTTATGTACAGAGCGAAACAAACGGGCCAGACACGACATCTGAACCAAAGCAGAGCAGCGAAGCCTTTGCTTTGTTAATTAATGTGAGCTACAGGCTTAAAAAAATCTCCAAAACTATTATTTCAGGAATATTATTCATCAGGGCTCAACAATAAAGATGGACCCATGTCACAAGGTCAGTATGAGAGACTTGAAAATGCAATGCTCAATAATATAACACAAAAAATACAGCAAGACCCAACGCATAGACCAAAGAGGTCTGTCTGGTGCATATCCAAACAACCAAGAGCGCATCCTACATTTACACACACCTTTAAACTCTGCTGTCATCATGACACCTACAGTAGCCCACATCTTGGTTTTCAGCCGCACCAGGATTCCACTTTTTTTTTTTTTGCATTTAATATGGCTGATTTTGTGGCTGTAATTTCCAGAATTTTGGGGAATATGTAAACTAGATGTAAGTCATACATGACAGAAAAAAAAATGCAGAAAGCTTGTTTATTTTTGTTCTGACACTAACTTGTATAGGAAGTTATTTTTGTTTTTTTTTATTCTGTTCTTAAAATTAAGAAAGAAATTGCACGCAATAACACAAAGATACAAATGAAATATTAGGCTGCTGTAACTTTAAGACCTAATGCACAGATCCAATACACATTCGGTTTTCTCCCAACTATTTATATTTACTTAACTGACCATGTTTACAGGAATTCTCAGTAAGAGGGGCATTTTGACATCACTTTGTGTATTTCACTATTCAAGCGTGTGTGACAGCTGGCTTTCTTTGTGTCAGTCAGTGCACAAGTACCGCATTATACTTTGAGGCTTATTGTGTTTTTGTACATCAAGTACACCCCATGTTTTATTTTCTCATTTGGACATGTTTCTTTATCACACTAATGTGTCAATAACTGTAAGTAGTACTGTGATTTTGTGGAATCGCTAAAAACCAAAGGAACTGGTTTTCCAATTAATCGGCGGCCCAGCAATCAACACAGAATCCAACACTTGGTCAGAAAAGAAACATTTCAGATAATAATATTTTGTTTCCTGCAATTGATATGTTTTCTAAATACATTTACACTGTATTTTCAATCGGCTTAAAATGATCTTTTCAAATCAAATAATTTTAAAAAATAAATTATTATTATCATTATTAGGAGTTTTGTAGTATTTTGAGTTTGTTCATCCTAAATGAAAATATGACAAGGGCAGGTAAAAATCTTAGGTGATAAAAAATAAAAAATAAAAATCCTTATTGTAGAGCCCTTTTGATGGCTTAGTAAAGGGAAGTAGTCAAGACAAGACAACTGGAAGTGTGCTACTCTAACTCCCCTCATATAGGGCAACAGAGAGCATAGTGCTGCGAGAGTAGAGGGTAATAGTTTGGTAGTAGGTTTCTGGGGGTTAACAGCATTATCAGGTTGTCTACCTGTCGCCCACTCTGCTCTTCATTAAGAAGATCCGATTGCAGGTTCTCCATCCTAGCAGCGTGGGTCTGATAGAACAGCCCCAAGGACTGTACCACCACGAAGGGTAAAGCGGGGTAAAGCACGGTCAAGCCAGAACAACGAGGGCCAACCAAGCCGTATAAACATGGTGGAGGGAGGAGAGTTGAGAGGGAGTCAGCCAGGATGAACGGAGGATGAGGGGCGGGGTGACAGAGTGAGCAGCAGGCAGATACAGTGAGAGAGGAACAAGAGTTTGTGTGATGCAGTGAAAATACTTCTACTTTATCACACACTTTCTTTCTCTTATTCTGAAGGCACATTAAGACAAAATTAAGAGTGTTCTGTTGGTTTTATCATATACACTGGGTGGAAGTCAATGATGTCTCAGAATACACTCTCTCTTACTTCCTCTTTCATTCACACAAACACAGAGGGCCCAAAATGAACACTGCCCCAACTTTCAATGGTAAATGACTTCAGCAATTTTACCACCATTTTTTCTTACTAGCTATGAAACAGCTGTTTGAATTTATTTTATATGTATATCATCTAAAGTATTTAGATGATAGTTAAAATCAACCAAAAGGTTATTGAATCATTATCATCATAATTACAGAAAATTCATTTAAATTATGTATTATGTTGCAGCTCTAATAAACTGGTAAGTTATTTAAATTGTATTTATTTACCTAAGCCAATTTTACTTAAATGTTGCACAAATGTTAATTTTGCTCCCTGCACACACACAATGCAAAACATAAAAGTACAAAAAAATGCCAAGTAACTACAAAAATAACACTACTGAAGACAAAATGGTCTGTCTGTTTGTGTAAGAATGTGTGTTTGTATAGGTCTTTCAGAGATTCAGTACCTTCAGCTGTGTGTTGAAGGCATCTATCTCCAATAGTTTAGAACGTGTTTCCATCTCCACAGCGTCCAGCTGCTCTCTCAGCTGCTGTTTGGTGGATTCCTTCATTTCAATGGCCCTCTGAAGACTAGACAGAGAGTCTCCTACAAAGCAGAAACAATCAGACAACAATCAAAGAGCATTCCTGAGAGATCAACATCCTTGTGAATCATTCTGCAAAGCGATTTATTTTTCCCCCTTTTACACTGATGTAAACAAAAGGAAGCTTTAATCATCAAAATGGTCTAAAACTGCGCTTATTTCAACAGTTCAATGAGCAAAACAAACAGGAATACTGTTCAAATAATGCTTAGTTCACCAATCTGATCATTTAGTTCTTGACTGTTTTCATGCCTCTGCGACCTAAGGTGTTGATTTTGTGTTCAATCAGCTCAACTGTCATTTGTAAAATTGTTCCTGCAGTACCAAATATGACCAGTCAGCAGCAACTTCTACAGATTACAGTTATTATAGATCATTGTTTGTTTAGATGTTACTAAGGCTTTATGTGGGCGTGTTGAGGGCGAGAACTCTGAACACACCTTGATTTGAGTGTCCTGAATTTCAACCGGTTTGTGAAACAAAGACGTGTTGGGCTGATCATCAATTTTATTCCCAGCAATTTTATAGAAACTTGGACAAACTTTGAAATAATAATGACCAGAAGACAGAACCCTACATTCCACCACCGAACAGTTTAATTAAAAAATTTTTTCGGCATCCATGAATTCCAACAATATTTAGTTTTTTAGTATAACACTGACAAAGACACAAGGTACCACAGTAAGTACTAATGGCAGCTGTTTACCACATTAATTAGGTAACCACATAAGATGAGTAGATCCCAACTGTTGAAATGGACTCTGGTTTGCACCAAAACGTCTAGTGTGATAATATCTAACCAGAAAACTAGCCTGGATCTTTAAAGTGGTGTAGAGGAAAGGGTTCTTACTGTGCAGACTGTTCTGCTGAACCTGCTTCAGCTGGTCATTCAGACACTGTTTGTCAGGAATCAACCGACTCAACCACTGCTGAGACTCCTGATGGAGACAAAAGAGAGAAAACACATAAAATATTCGGATTACTTTGAAACACTTATGTACAGAGCAACTTAAAACTGATATCTTTTTGTGTATAATTGCAATTAAACAAGATATGTATAGTCTAAAGCACTCGTCTCTGTCCATGAGGGGTTTAAAATCCCTCGTCTCTTCCACACACTCAAAAAACACCCCAAACCAGGGAGGAGAGACTGATTCAAATGATGTGAATTCGGAAAGGATGCTGATGATGCCTCTGTATGAGGCAAGTGAGAAGAAAGAAGAGAGAAATGAGAAGAAGTGCACACCTGCAGCTGCTGTTGCAGGCTAGTGATCTCAGCAATGCGGAGCTCTCGCGTCTTATTGGTGCTCTCGATCTCGTGCCTCTGAGCCGAGAGACGGAAACGAATGTCCTGCAGTTTACCCTCCAACTGTGACTTCTTATCATTCTAGAGAAGAGCCAAAAAGAACAACAGATGTCAAACTACTAAACTCAGCATCAGATTAACTTTAATCATCAAAATGGTCTAAAACTGCACTTGTAACAACAGTTCAATGAGCAAAACAAACAGGAATACTAATCAAATAATGCTTAATTCACCAATCTGATCATTTAGTTCTTGACTGTTTTCATGCCTCTGCGACCTAAGGTGCTGATTTCGTGTTCAATCAGCTCAACTGTCGTTTGTAAAATTGTTCCTGCAGTACCAAATATGACCAGTCAGCAACTCCTTCTACAGATTACAGTGATTATAGAGAGACGGAAACGAATGTCCCGCAGTTTACCCTCCAACTGTGAATTCTTATCATTCTAGAGAAGAGCCAAAAAGAACAACAGATGTCAAACTACTAAACTCAGCATCAGATTAACTTTGGTTTAATATGCATATGGGGCCACTCAAACAGATTGCAATTCTGTTTGGTGTTGCTGATGGGTTTGTTTATGTATTTGTTCAACATTTTATTCCTAAAAACATGGTTGTATTTTCTGATTTATGTAGTGATAAAAAGAGATATCCAAAATCCCCTCGGTTTATACCTTTAACTCTTTCCCCGCCAGCATTTTTGAAAAAAGTTGCCAGCCACCGCCAGCGATTTTGATGATTTTAACTAAAATTTGATGGCCTCCAGTATATTTTGCTGTATGAATATTTGAATATGCAATACACCAAAATAAAGATCAGAGCCTCTACTTTTAAACAAAAAAAATGTTGTTTAAAAAAAAGTTTTATTCTAGCTTAAAGCATTCTTTTTTTTTTATCAACACTTGAATATAGGTAGGTTTCATAAAAAATGCATCATTTTGAGCAAAAAGGTGAAAATATCACATTTTTATCAAAAACTACATCTGGATAATATTCAGTACGATTATCAAAGCATAAATCCAGTAAATCGCTTCCATCAATACCTCCAAAGCTTGCACAGACATAAACCACTTTGTGGATCAACATTTTACTCTGTAACATTATGCAGTTTTCATTTATATGCTGTCTATTGCTGATGATCGCATTATTTTTTTATATGCAGCTGTTTACATAAGAGATCGCTAGTTTCTCCGTCCTGTTCACGTGTGTTTTTGTTCGGGAGGTTTTGTACTCGTTCAGAAGATGCGTAATAGTGCCTCCGAGTGTATAACAGTGAAAACACGAAAAGCCGTAAAAACTCGTCTTTGGCGGGGAAGCGTTTTCTTGTAAAAGACGAGATAACTCATCAATGGCGGGGAAAGAGTTAATTTAATGTGCCAACAAAATTAAACAAGAATTTTGAACCTGGTTTTATTCAGCGTTCAGATTTCTGTTCTGGTAATGTATGCAAATGAGTGCATATTTAATTAGACAAACTCATATCTAGATAGACAAAAGTCATATCTACTAGTTAACATTTTTACCCTATTCAACTGGAGTGTCTTGCCTTAAAACATTAAAGTGTAGAAAAGTGCACGTACCAGGGCCTCCAGTTCAAACTCAAGTGTTTTCTTGCGTGCTTTGAGCAGGACGATGTTCTCCTGCTCTCTGTTTCTCTGGGTGAGCAGTTCCTGTCTGCGTGTTCTCTCCCACTCTAACTGCCGCTGACGCTCCAGCTCCCGCTTAGCAGCCTTCACACACAACACACACTCAAGAGGTTACAGATGATGCTGATAGTGTTTAACATGCACTGAGAATTTTTTAACTTACCTCTCTTTTCTCGATCTCCTTGCGTCTCTCCTCCTCCCTCTGTCGCTCCAGCTCTCTCTGTCTCTCCAGTTGTCTGTCCAGCTCCTGCTGTCTGCGTCTCTCCTGCTCCAGTCGTTCTCTCTCCTTCCTCTCTTGCTCCTCTTTCTCCAGGGCCGCCAGTCGCTCCTGCTCTTTCCTCTGCTGCTCCAGCAATGCCTGCCGACGTTTCTCCAGCTCCAGGTTTCCACGCTCAAAGTTCTCTCGTTTCTTATCCTCGAATGTGACTGAGGGGAAGAACGGAAACAATTACTAGCATGAACGTGTTTTTGGTGATACACTTGATCACATTAAAAGCCATATGTAACAGTGATTGTATTGAGATCACTGAAACCAGTTTCAAAGGTCGTCACGACAGGTTCTGACCATATTCAATGAAAATATTACCGCATTTTGTTAAACAAATATGGAAGTAATATGTAAAAGGTTGCACTACACATAAAACATTAATTGTCATTTTGTCAGGCTGGGCTTTCAATTTTCCATCATGCTCTACTTTTATTATGTCTTATGATCTGGTCAATTAAAAGAACAATATCTCACTAATAATTCCACTGAACTACACTTGCAATTTCTCATTTGTATCCCCAGACCTTCACTCACATTTCTCTCAGGGAGCTTTAAAACTTCTTTTACCCATTTTCTCCACTTCCATTGTCTATTAGCATTATATACAGAGGGTATGTTTCTTAAGTATGTAAAAGTAACCATAGAGATTCTCTGGTATTCTATAAGCCAAAATGAGGGAATGCACTTTGAATTAGCCATTAATGTTTTTTAAAAATTGGTAAATGGAGGAACATTTATAATTAATGTAGCCTTTGTGGTAATATGCAAGTGGCGTTTTCCATTTTGTATGGGTAAGTGGTATCAGATCTCACAACGAATTGCACTGCAAGATGTAAATGCAAGTTAAATAGCTAAATCCAGTTAAAGACTATCCAGATAAAAATGCATTAATGCCAGAAGCAAAGGGGGCCTTTTTCATGTCTATACTTGTCATCTGATCCACAAATATTTTATCAGTGAGTCAGCTGAGTTTCCATGAAACTGATTAGGATTTACTCTTGTCCTCTGACCTGCAAGTTTTTTCTCTGCCTCTTTTTCCTCCTCCTCCAGCTCATCCTGAGACCGTAGGTCTGTCGAGTGTATACTGGTCACAGACACTCCACTACCAGAACGCACTCTCCTACACAAACAGGAAAGAATTAAGTCCTATAAATGTAACCATTTGCATCTTTAGAATAAAAGTTCTCTTAACTCTAACTTTCAACTAAATTGGCAGATAATTCCAAGGCATGAAAGATGATCATTGACAAAGTATATATATAGTTGTGTGCCATCAGTGGGGTCACTCACCTGAATGTCGGAGGTATGAGGTCAGGAGGCAGTAAAGGCGGAAGAGGCAGACCGGACATGGCCATGTCAATTAAGTGCATGGCCAGAATAAACTCTTCTGCAGTCAACTTTCCATCCTGGTCTATATCTGACAGGTTCCTATATAGATAAACAAGTGGATGTTATTATTGTTATAAGGAGTCAAAACAGCTATTTATCTTGCCTTTCCACATGACACCACATCACTCAAGATCCGGTGTTAAAGTGCCCCTATTATGCCATTTTGTTTTGGGAGCCACCTACAATAGGTTTACATGCTTGCAGGGTAAAAAAAAAAACGATTTTGTTTTCTCAAAATATGCATTTAATATCACCTCATTTTCCAACGATTCTCAAACGATTTGTTCGAAGCAGTTCTAAGATTCGGTCTCTATAAACACATCATTTCTGTGAGCCTACTCTGCTCTGATTGGTCAGATGGCCCAGTCTGTTGTGATTGATCTACCTTGTACAGTGTGTGTGTCACAAACGATACGCCCATTGCCATAGTTCCGTATTTTGAAAGCTCGATAGAAAATATAAACACATATTATTTATCATACTTACAAGATGTTATTTAGTGGAGCCAGTTGGTCCAAATAAACTGGGTACAGAGTCATCTTTGAAGAGCAGTGTTTTGTGAATGCTGCGTTGAACATAGGTGGGCATTATGCAGATGTGTTACCTTGTGACATGTAGCTGTCACGGAAGTGGGATTCGAATTACTGACGACTCGCTTAGGCTGCTCAGAGTCAATTATTTCTTTTGGGAGACAACTTTATTTATCGTGCACTTTTGGCTTTACTACTTTGCAGATCGTTTACATTCACATACAGCTACATTACAAACTGAACGAAAGGCAATATTCGAAATGGCATAATAGGGGCACTTTAAACATAGGCAATACAAAAATCCCAAGAACAGCATGTTAAAAGATATCAAAACAGCAGTCGGACGTACTCATAACAATATCCAGATACCAATCCTCATGTTTACACTGATTCATATCTCAGAACTCTGAGATTTGTTTGAGTTTTAAATGTGAGAGAGAGACACGGTAAAAAAAAGTTTTGGATCCGCACCAGATGGTTGCCAGCTGGGTCTGCGGTAGACTGGACTGCATTAGAATAGTTCTGGCTTGTGGACCTGAAGCAGAAAAGAAAGAGAAAGAGAGAGAGAGAGGAAACAGAAGTGAAAGAAAGAGTTGAGTATGTTGAGTCAGCAACCTCTGTTTCCTCTAAGCTGTACTGAGTAACCACTGTCACTCATCACAAGAGCTTTGAGCTCTACAAACACACTGAATTAAAAACTAGATTCTTATAAAGAAAATATGAATGGTAATAAATGCACATGAAAATAGTTTTAAATCAAACTTGAAAATACAAAACTATAATAACCTTGTTAAAATTTACAGCTATGCAGCATTTAAATTTGATATTTAAATTAGATGAGGGTGAGGCTACCCAGAGCTGAGCAACAAAACATAATACAAAGTGTTTCACTGCCTGATGTTTGTTATGTGTCATGCTTTGTGTGACAGACACCACACCTGTGAGATAACCACTCATCATTTTGTCATGGCTGTTGAAGAGTTGGCGGTACTTGAGCCGAGAGGACTGAGACACGGCCCAGTCAGTGGGCGGAGGAGCAGCCGGAGCACTAAAGAGACAATGTGTGTGTTTAAGTGGCAACATTCTGCTCATTTACAAGTTCAACATTTTATTTTTGGGGACTGCTAGAATACATTTACACGATTTACAGTTCAAAAAACACGATTTTTCCCAAACTGTACATTGGTCCAGCACCGCTTTTCACCCTCTGGCTGAAACACTGTTTTAGTTCCTGTCTTTGTGACGTAGCTAAATGATGGAAATAATGGCAGGACTACAAACAAGGCATTTCAGGCAAGTGTTTTTCTGCACACTAAAGGAAAGGTAAAAGCAAAATAGGTGGTTTTTAACATCTATAAAATTTCTGCGAATAGAGTGTGCATGTGTGTGCGTACCTGGGTGCCTCTACAGACTGGCCCTTCTGTAGCTTGATACTGGAACGATTGAACGAAGCTGACAGACAGAGACAAACACCCATAAATTATTGTGCCAAAGTAAACAAACTGTATAAGCTGGTCTGGGTAGTGTGAGCGTGTGTTTACATTACCTGGATGTGAGAATCCACTCATGGGTTGTACCATAGCGGGCGCTCCATTAGCAAGAGATGGTACCGCTGGGGTCACTGATGCTACCAGTGGTGGAGACACGCCTACTCCCGGCACTCCTGGGGGCAGAGGGGGCAGGGGCATGGGTGGCACCGCTGGCAGGCCTGGCATTCCCCCCATACTAGTCATCCCTGCAGACACCGATCAAAGAAATAATGAACAGATTTAATAGATTAATAATAATTAAAACAACAATTAAAACAAATAAATGGTGAGACAGATAAGGTATGCTTGATGTACTGAATTTAATTTATTTTAATTATAACATTATATAAGAGACTTTAAATCTCTGAGGGACTTTACTGAACCACAATCCTAAAAAAAGCCCTGAACAAGGGGTCTGTTAGAAGAGTGGTCTAGTGTTGGACAATGGGGGGCCTTCGACAATGGTCTTGGTCTAAGACTTCATCTGTGTCCTGATATGTAACATGTCATTCAAGCCATCAGAATGAGAGTGTTCTTACCAAAAGAGGGCTGCGGGGGTATGGAGAGGGGTGGCTGCTTCATGGAGGTGGGCAGTGAAGGAGGGAGGGGGTGACCCTGCAGCTTCAATTTAATCAGCTTCATTGCGATGGAAAATTCATGCATGTCCATCTTCCCATCGTTGTTCACGTCGGCCAGGGCCCTGCAAAACATGGACAGAGTATCTTTTTCAGTGACGGACAACATGTTAACTTTATCATTCAGGATTTGCAACCTGCTACACAATCGGTTTTCATAGACACAGCAGCCTGAACAATTTTGAATGTTAAAAAAAATTACGTAAATAATGTAACAATGCTACAGTAATTGGTTAACTGTAAGTTCATGTTTTTTGGTTAATTTATGGTTTTAGGAAGCAAAAACTATGAACTACCTAATAATTTACAGTGAAAAGCAGTAAAAGGAAATTCTCAGAAGCTCCTGCATGACACATCACATATGATTGTGTTCTTATTTTTGTTATCAGTGTTATCATTAAGGCAGTGGTTCTTAACTGGTTTGGCCATGGGACCCCACATCAAGCTGCGACCCAATTTTTTAGGATATATATATATATATATATATATATACAAAAAACTTTAACTGTCTCAATTATCAAGCCGTTTTGATTTTCTGAGCAGTATGACATCATATTGCTCAAGCCCCGCCCACGGCCACTGACGGACTGTCCCATATTAGCATATTCACGCCCTCAGCCAGTTGTACGTTGTCGGCCATTTTCTCCGCGCTCAAGCAGCTGTAATGATAACAATGTCTCGTAAGCGATGCAGGTGTTTTGTAGTTGGATGTAAAAATAAACATAAGAGACTCCCGACATCAGAGCCACTGAGAACGCAGTGGATTAGTTTAGTTTTTTTATGGTAAAGCGCCACCAAATACACCTAAATTCATTTATGTCTGTGCAAATCATTTTACTCCAGACTGCTTTCTGAATGAGGGAGAATGCAAGGCAGGTTTTACGAAAAAGTTAAAACTCAAGGATGGATCAGTACCCACTGTTCGTGATTCAGCTGCACCTCCAGAAGAAGTAAGTCTCACACTTTATATTTCTTATGATTATTTGCAAATCGCCTTTCCTCTTCCATGGAAGAGAGGGGTGGGGTGAGCAGAGCTCATTATCATGTAAAGAGACATGCACCGAAACGGGTCGCTGTGAACAGAGCAGTTTTACATGACCATTGAGGAATTTTAAACAAAGTATGTTACAAACATTTCATGAAGACCCTAAAGAATCATACCAACTTGTGGAAAATGGGCATCCGATGCCCCTTTAAGGAAATATATGGTTATAAGTTGTAAAATATACAGGCCTCTGGCAATACTGGAAACACTGTCATCAGTATTTTTTTATAATGAATTTCTGGCAACAACAGATGCAAGTTTTTTTTACTGTAAATGTAATGGAATTTTTTTTTAGTGTACGCTAATTACTGAACAGAAGCACATTTTGGATTATAAATGAAAGTAGTGGTCTGGATTATAATTGAATATGTGTTATAGGAATTGTGTACCATATCTGGGCGAGGATGGGGGCAGGTAAACCTGACAGCAGAAAGAAATTTCTTGCCTGGTCACCTAAAGACAGAGAGAAACGGGAGGAAATTAATATGCATAAATGTATAAATATACACATGGTATGATAGATACAAACAAAACAGAACGGTTTATGTCCCCACAACTCAAAATGAATGTGGCGTTCAAAGAGTTTTATGACATTAAAATGATGTAATTGTTTTAGTATGCTAGTAAAACATTGATAACATAATTAAGAGTTACATAAACCATCTTGTCAACGAACATGCACAGGGTTTATTGACTGCACTTGAGTGACATTGGCCTCTGGGGCGAGTGATTTGCCAGCTACAGCTTGAGCAAGAAAGGAAAGCCGAGTCAGTGTGTTCATATGTTATCTAACCTATCAAACCGATTTCCTTCTGTTATGACAGCTATACTGCTAAACACAAAAATGCATGTAAAGCAGCCAACTACAGTTTTTCTTTTCTTTTAAATTTTTTTTAAACATTGATTATAATGATTGATTATACCACAATCTTAGACCAGTGTCAACTAATAATGCCACAGCAGACCAGATAAGCTATACTGCCCCTTTTACAACCTACCAAACAACACACAAAGCAATGCGAGATGTGAGTTTGAGCCTCTGCCATGTTAAAAGCAAAAAAAAAACAAAACACTTAAAGACCTTTTCACCTTCCTCTTAACAGTTTTCAGCTTGATAAAAGGTAGCTATCTTCCTCTGTGCGCACACACAGAACGCCTTTATACCCTCAGTGCCAAAAACAGACTCCCTCTCCATGCCTGCCTGACTGTGAGCCACTCAATGCTTCAGCCGTCCTTCAGTCGACACAAAGAGGCTCTTTCAGATCCACTGGTCAACAGGAAACCCACAAGTACCATCTCTTCAGGAGATGTCCAAAGTCCAGCTGGGACAAGCTGGTTTTACTGTTTGCGTCTTGTGATTTTGATTAGCCCTTTGGAGGTTAATTTCACATCTATCTATGATCGTACAATGAGATCATGAAATGTTTTTGTGTACTTTGAACATTTCTTTCAATGTAATGTATGAAAAGTTTAGCTAGTTCCAGAATCATCTTCAGACTTGCAAAATGTCTGTAAAGAGAGTCCAGGGAGAAAGATGGCTTTCTATAACAGGAACCAACATGTCAAAGCTTCAACTAAAGATTAGAATCAAACAGCATCAGCAAAGATAACAGAGAAATTACTTTTTCTATGTCACATGGGAATCAACATGCCACACCCTGATCGGTTTCCTTCTGTATTTTTCTCAGTGATTCTATTAACATAACATGCTGTCAACTCACAACTGAAACGTTCACTGCATGCTTACAGGGAATCAGAATCTGAATTCTAAAACCATCTGCATTGAGCAAACGTTTACACAAGCATTAGATGTTTGTTTTTTGACTAATGTAAAGGTGGAACGGTTTTACTCTGGGTCAGTGGCAAAGCCAGAATTTGTCTGTTTCGGTGGAGGAGGTGCTGAGACTGACAATAACACTTATCAGACTGTGTTTCTTATTGTATACAGTATGAGTAAGACAGATGTGAGTCTGACTGAAGGCCACGCAAGTAAATATCCACCCATTCACAGGCAGAAAACAGGAAGTGATATGGTTTTAATAAACTGTCATGAAGAATATCCATGGCATTTTTATTAGCATGGTGGGAAAGAGGTGTCTGCTTTTCTTTTTCAGTTTTCACTTAATTTGCTCCATCTCTCTGGGTCTTTGATTCCTACAGAGACATAATAGGCCTAAAAATGTCTGACTACCAGAGATGTATGACTGACTGCACTGCTGGTGGTCATTTTCAGTTGCACAGAACTCAAGGGATTTATTCTTGCATTTCAGACAACATTAAACTCCAAAGGGTTTTTAGCAAACATCAGCACTAATGAGCGTTCTGTACTTTTCTCATAGCAAGAAAACCAGTCATGATTACCTGTGATGAAGCCAGCAGGTGTGGGGGTCAAACTGTGGAACTGCTGGTCATGTTTGGCTCTCTCGTCCACAGATATTACCCATGTATCCGACCCCCCTGCAGAGAGAGAGAGAAGATATCAGACGAACAGCAGCATAATACTTTAATGTTTTTAACCTGCTAACATTTTTATCAAACGGACAGAACACAGCTACAGATAAATCAACTCTTACTGATGTTTGATTGCGTAAAAACATCACTGAGAAATATGTAGTCAAACTGTTGTGTTGATCAAATTAATCATCTAATTAATCAGATAGATAAAAAAATCCAAACTTGAATAATTGTTCAACAATTATCATTTTAAAACTGCTTAAATTTTAATCCATTATTTAAAAAATTTTTATTCACCTTCTTGCCCAATTTGTTATTTGAAGGCTATGAAAACAAACATAGTGAATTTATCTATGTACACAGAATATATATTATATATTGTATAGCATATCCATATATATGCGCTATACAATATATTAAAAAGAAACAAAATGCAAAAAAATCCAAATATAACTTATATTTAGTGCTGTCAAATCGATTAATTGAGATTGATCGCATCCAAAATAAAAGTTTGTTTACAATTGTGTGCGGACAGTGTATATTTATGCATGTTTATTGTGTATATTTATATGTATATATAAATACACACATACATGTATACATTTAAGAAATATATGTAATAAATATTTATATTTATGTATAAAATAATATATATAATATATAAATATGAATACATATATATATATATATATGTAAATATTTCTTAAATACATAAATGTATGTGTGTGTATTTATATATACATAAAAATATACACAGTACACACACACATATATTATATAAACACAAACTTTTATTTTGGATGCGATTAATCGTGATTAATTGATTTGACTGCACTAATTATATTCTAATACAAAAAACAACTGGATGCTTACTATTTTAAAAGACGTTAAAATGACTGAATTAAAAGTAATTAAATTCCATTAAAGGGGTCATATGGTGCTTGTGGTGTTTGGCCAATCACAATGCACTGGGTCAGTTGGCCAATCAGAGCAGACTGCGCTTGTCGGAAGGCGGGACTTTGTAGAAAACGAAGTGTTTGAGAGAGGCGGGGCATAGAGGACCTACAATAATGTACAGTATTTGAAAAATAATGTGTTTTTTGAACATTAAAGCATGTCAACATATTCTGTTACACCAAATACACAAAATAATGATCTTTAAAAAAGCATCATATGACCCCTTTAAAGAAATCATTAAAGACTAAATGTTAATTTGTATGAGGAACATATAAATTCACATTCATGTGAACAACATAGTAATTATATTTAGTGCTGTCAATCGATTAAAAAAATAAACTAATTAATTGCACATGTTTTCTGAAATTAATCGCGATTATTCATGATTAACCTCACCTAACCTAAAGTTGGGGGGGGCAATAAGGCAAAAATATATATATATATTTTTTTTTTCAGGAAAATCACAATTCACGATTTTATCACGATTCTTTGTCAAACAAACCCATACAAGGTAACAAAATATAAAATAAAAAAGAATGGCAGACAATTCGGCCAAAGTGGGCAAAGATAAAAATCTTTGTCATTAATTTGTCTTTGTTTTTAAAAAAATAATGACAAAGATACACATAACAATTACACATAATATACAAATAAAACAAACAGTGCTTTATTTTTCAGGTACAGTCGGTGTATTTAGCAGTAGCATTCAAGAAATTAAATTAACAGATTGGTAATTGTTGATTCTTATTAAAGCAACTGTATTAAAGTTCTTCAGTCAAGAGAAGTGAGTGACTTTTCTCTGTGTTTTGTTGTTTTATTAACATTAAAGGAATAGTTCACCCAAAAATGAAAATTCTGTCATCATGTACTCACTCTCAAGTTGATTTAAACCAGAGTTTCTTTCTTCTGTTGATCATAAAAGGTATTTTGAAGAACGTGGGTAACCAAACAGTTGCTGGTCCCCAGTGACTTCAATAGTATTTTTTTCCTACTATCAAAGTCAATGGGGACAGAATTGTAATTTTTGGGTGAACTATCCCTTTAATGATAAGCGGCAGCATGTTTAGTACAATTAGTCTGTTGTCACGCATCTAATATACAGGCTGCACGCATCTAATATACAGGCAAGCATTCGTTTTTTTTCTCAAGTGTTTACTTTCACTTTAGACTTAAACCAAACGTGTTTATATGTACGCCTTGTGTGTTTTTGACAGTATTTGCGCAGTCAGACGCGAAAGAGAACTTAGTCCAGTAATCAGGCACTGTTTGATAGGCTTTTTAGTGTGCATGCGCTTCAGGTGTACACACTCAGAAATAACACATGTTAGAACCGCACTGAAATTAAATGTTTTACAGGCTAGACTTTAAAGCACATGCAAATAATGTACTTTTGTGATTGCGAATAAGTGCAGTGTCCTGTGAGAGTAACTACTGCTGAGTTAACATTGATGTGAATGTATATCGCGTTGTACAGTATGTTGAGACAGAGATGCCAAAACTGCAACTGATAGAATGTGCGCTGTAGCACAATACTACGATATATCTTCAAAAGCAGATCGTGGAGACATTTTAATAGTCCACGATCAAAAATCGTGACATCACACACCCCTAATTAAAGTTTTTAAATATACTTTTATATAATAATTTCCCATTCAATCTTCAAATTAATGTAGAAACAACATAAAGACAGTATA